TGGAAATTTCTCCTAAAAGTCATCAGTTGACCCCCCAAAATTGAAATACGCTTTAATTTGATGTGTGTCTCGAACACCTTGGAGAGTTGTGAGTATTTTCCCCGAATTTTTTGAAGTGGGAGCACTTACCATTGGGGTCTATGGAAGTTTATTTACTGGTCTGCTACCATAGGGGCACTGTCAAAAGCGGACACTCATGGACTCTCTCGGACAGTAAAAAAATGTTTCCCAAATTTTTGTTTTCTTTCTTAACAAATTCTCGATTTATCAGTTAAAGAGGGGGGCAGGGGTTTTTCATTAAAATTGGCCAAAATATGAATTTCTTTTTAATGATATATCTGTCCCTAAATCGAGTTGGAATGTGTTCCAGGGTCTTTTACGAGTCTTTCCAGGAAGTTTGGAGCATTTTCATTTTTGGAAGAAAATTGACAAAAATTCCAAGGGGTTGGCCTTACATTTTTCATAAAAATCGAACACCTTGGAGAGTTGTGAGTATTTTTCCCGAATTTTTGAAGTGGGAGCATTTACCATTGGGGTCTATAGAAGTTTATTTACTGGTCTGCTACCTTAGACTTTGTGCACAACCGCTGAAGAGGCGTCTGGTGTTCTTTCGATTTGTTACAGGGGCAGTGCCACCTGCGTAAAGCTAGCCGCGTATTCGGCCCGATACTCCGCCGTGGATTAAAAAGTTCCGAGGCCAATAAACAACACTATTGCTGTGATTTGATGTTGAATGCAGATTTAATTAAAAAAAATCACAATTTTGCTGCCTTTTTCCATAACCCCACGTCGGATATCGACGACTAAGGTTCGTGCTCTCGGAGCGCAATATACCTCTAGTTTAAACTATGGTCCGGGTCCACTGGGCTTTAAACACATTACTAGTACATCGCCGTAAAAATGGTCCTCCAATCATTCTGCACAAAACCCCAAGCGTCTGGGGTTTGTGCACAAACCATATCAGTCGGCCTATCACGCTCAATTGACTTCGGCAACCCAAACCCTAGAGTTTGTTTCTGCATTCATAATAGGGGACGTTGAACAATAGAGGGTCCCCAGTTGGCGATCTGAACACATTCTCGTAAAAAGTTGGTCCTGTACTTCTGTCTTGGAAACATTTACTTGGAAACATTTATTTCAATGATGTCATTCATTACAATTATGTACAATCATGTATAAATTAAGAAAGGTCAGTAGTAATATATATGACAGTTATGTACACAGTGATTACTAATAAGTATAAAATTAAATGACAACAGTTAGGTATAAGGTTGAGCAGACGCTTTTGTGCCCTTACCTATGGACAGCCATACAACCAAAGTACTGTAACAAGGGACAAACAAAACACAACGGTAGACAGACAGGACACGTGTGTGAGACAAGGCCTAAATATTAATGCACATATAACATTTCAATTTATGAATATGATTCGATAAAATGAGTTTTTAAATTTTTGACAAAGACAGATAGTGAGGGTAACAGTTTAAGAGAATCATCTAAACTATTCCAGTACAAGGTGCCTTGATGAATCACACTGTTTTTTGACATTGACGTCCTGTTAAATTGGACAAACAGATTTCCCTTAGCACTACTTCGGGTGTTATATACATGAACATTAGATGCTAAGGTAAAACAAGAATCAAAACAGGACGGGAGTAGATTATGCTTAAATTTAAACATTAATTTACCTAAATTAAGGTAATATAAGTCATTACATTGTAATATATTTAATTTAGCAAATAACGGAGCAGAATGATCACGATAGCCAGCATTTGCAATTAAACGAACTGCTCGCTTCTGTAAAGTAAGTAATTTGTTACACTTAGATGGCAAACTGCCCCAGGTCAAGATTGAGTAATTTAAGTATGGTAAAACAAATGAATTATACAATGTTAATAAAATCTTACTCGGAAGATAATATTTCAAACGATTCATTATTCCAACGTTCTTTGATATTTTTGTCGCTACTTCATCAATATGATGTTTCCAAGTGAGATTTTCATCAATAGTTACACCCAGGAATTTAGTTATCTTAACCTGATTAAGCCTTGAGTTATTTAAAGGGAAAATACAACATTTGCAAACATCAAAAAATAAAACTACCAAATCGTTTTGAAATACCTTGCTGGACTGTTAGTGAATGACAGTGTAAAGCATCCTGTAAAATCATGGCACCTGGTATACTGTCATTTTCAAGAAAAGTGGTATTTTTGTATCAATTTCCAACGCTGATCGGCCGATCAGCGTTGGAAAAAACTGGTTTTTTTTTTCAAATACTGGCCCCAATTGACCATCGCACTTGTTTGCAATCGATTACAAACCTATGAACGGGTACGAGCCAGCTAGACTGGTTCCCTGACCTCACAATTCCCCAATGTATGTAAACTGCTCTGTTTCTTCTTATATGGAGTCAGGGAACCAGATACAGGAAAATGATTGTTTTTCTTGGTTTTTATAGCATTTTCGAACCCAAAACCTCAAAAAAGTTAGTGTAACTATATTTGCTTTATATTTCCAACCCCCAATTCCATCCATTTCTGAAAATTACAGCAAAAGCAAATGATGTATATTCCCTTTAAATTCAGAGGAACAGATTGTGTGTACTTGTACTGATTGGCACAAAAAATCATATAATTTGACTTGACGACATTAATAGATAATTTATTTGCGAGAAGCCATGTATTGATCTTTTCAAGTTCCATATTTAGGTTACTAATTGCTTCATCTACATTATCGTGAGTGTACAACAAACTTGTATCATCTGCAAATAAACAAAATGTTACAGTGTCTGAAGTATTACATATATCATTAATATAAAGAAGAAATAGTAGAGGACCCAAAACTCATTCTTGATGATGTGGCTTGTGTTTTTTGTTTAGAATGACTAGGACCAACCTTCACGGCATATGTGTCAGTAATGCCCGAATGCAGCCAAATATACACACTGTGTGGGTGTGTGAGTTTGTTTCTGCATTCAATAGGGACGTTGAACAATAGAGGACAATAGGGTCCCCAATTCCCGAAGGTCCCCAATTTACGATCGTGTACAAAACATATGGGAGGTCTTCCTAACTGTTAGGTACAAACAAAAGAGGGACAATAGGGGTCACTGATTGCAGGCAATTATATACACTTCTGTGCGTGGGCGGGGGATGCCGCGAAACAGGCCTCCCATTTCCGGAGGCCCGTTAGACTGGTTCCCAGACCAAAAGATTCCGACTATTCCTGATGAATCTTAGGTCAGGTAGCCTCCGTTAATACAATGTATTACAATTTACATCACGTGACTAAAACGGGAGGAATTCCTCCTTTTTCCGAAACTGTCCGAAGTTTGCCGAATTCATTTCGTCGACAATCACTCGGATAGTGTCCGAGTATTTCCGAGTATAATATAGGTTTTATTAATTGCTAATTGCTTATTAAAAACTTAAAAAAAACTAGTTGATAATTAATATCCATTGCTTTTATTTAGAAAACTTGAAATTCAACGACGATTTTGCACTCGGATCGTATACGAGGGGCGAACTTTTTGCTGCGTCATGCACTAGTTTGAATTTGACGACCGTTACCGGCATTTTCCAAAACGCGGCGTGGTCTCAATTCGGCTCCGCCTGCTAACAGTGCTGTTTGGGTGTCCAACTTTGAAGATTCCAGGTTAAAATTAGTCAATGTTTTTTTTACAGAAGTATTAAACTGTATATCATAACTATGATATATGAAGCAAGTGATTTATTTAAAAAAAAAATTATCGGAACATTAAAAGCTTTATGTGATAAAGCGAATTCGGAAACGAAGTCGAGCTTTGAAAAAGGGCCGTCAATGTCGTCATGTTTATTTTTAGCCACGGAGGCTGCCTGACCTACAATTTAGACGTGTAGACGTCGGGGGAAATTGTCAGGTCGGGGAACCAGACTAGAGGCCCGTGCCCAACCCCATCCCACTGACCCCAGTTATTATGCCACCGAAAAGGCAGTTATAAGGCCAAAAAAAAAAGTCTCCGGTTTCTGGTATGGAGCTTGCCCAAAAAGTGGTGCGGCGACGCAGCTTTTTTTTTTTTTTTTATCCTGACTTTTTTGCTTCAAATGTCGGCTGATGACTGCAAATGGTGCCCGAATAAACTAGTGCAAATTATATGGGAGTCCAGAGAGGCCACATAAAGCTTATTCTCGACCATAACCTAATCTAAAAACACGTTAAAATTGTGCAGCAGCAGGATTCCAGTCAAACCAGTGAGTTTGGCGGTTTTGAGACATCATCTTTCATTAAAAAAAAACTTTTTCATTTTGCCGACGCGCATATATATGACTACGGTGACGCGCGCGCATACCAGAAACCGGAGACTTTTTTTTTTGGCCTTACATATATAATTTTAAGCTGGGGCAATTTGGGGAGGGAGGGCCGAGGGCCGGGGAGCTTGCGTGATTTGTTGGTTGGTCCATGGTCGGTTGGTTGGTTAGTTAGAGCAACGTAGTTCAAACACGTTCACACGCCCCCGTCAAGATCGACCCTCTTCTTATATATACCTCGAAATTTGCTCCTTTTTTTAAAGCTTGCATCCGCGTTTGTATTTTATTCTCTGAATATGCTGTACATGTACCCTTATAAACCTTGCATGATGATGCCCCTCTTCGTTGCATCTGATTAAGTAGTTACAAGCTACGAAAGCTTATGCACACTTCACTCTAGTTAGTCATTTAAAGTGATAGTATTATCTATTTGATTTTGTGCCTCCATGGCCTGACTAACACGGCTGCCCACCACTTTTAGTTCTAAATATAATAAAATGTTAAATGCAGGCCTTTTTCCAAGCATGTTATTTGAAATTTAAAATAATGATGTGAAAGTTTCAAGCAATTTGAGATTTTGTAGCGAACCATCGCTTGTACCTTTAAAGTAAGAGCTCATCCCAGCCTCTACGCCTGTAAATTAGTAATAATCAATTTACGAGAACCAGACTGACGAGGCAAGGAAGGTTAAAGGTCATGCGCCTGTGGTAACTTGTTTACATCCGGGCACTTACAATTGTGCGTGAATAAGTTTGATTTAGACTGGTGAACTGTTGTCGTTTAAACCCTTTAAATTCCGTCAAAATGTCATGTCCCTTAGATATATAACCGTCCGTTCCCCCTACGCTCTGATCCTGTGACAGTTTTATTTTATCCTTTTTGTATTTGTCGACTGTAAGTGTTCAAGAAGTGCAACACAACGGTACAAAAATACGAGTGAAAGTTGACTAGCTTCGCGACGTGGCAGGGAACGGCGCTCCTGAGTGTTGTGCGTGCACTCACCACAACGAAGTGCGTGGCTGTCTTTCCTAGAGCTGGTAATTCACTTGTCGTCTGTTCTTTGTTTGTGGCCGTCTCCTTCCAAATTCCTGGCATTGTAATAGTCAGGACTAACGGGTGAAGATAATAGACAGTTCTCGTTGAGTGGTTCGCTTTCTATGGGGCATCATGATTAGAATTTTGATGCTTGCAGGCAGCCTTTTCTGTGAGTTGGCCTTAACTAACCAGTAACTGTTCACCGTTTGGTTTTGTCATTGTATTCGGTCTAGGAAAGGTAATTGGGTAGTGCATGTGTATGAGTGATTACAGCCTTGGTTGCATGGGTGAACCAAAATGGCTGCTGCCTCTGCCTGCAAGCAATTGAAGATGTTTTTGTGGTAAATGTAAACAATTCACATGCTTTTCTTGTAAGAAGAGTATGGCAACTAGGCCTAATTGACTTGGCATGCTTGGGCCTAAAATTAATTGAATTGTTTTAAGTTAAGACACCTCTTTTACATTCATGATTTTTTTGCTTTCATAGCCCCATAAATGTGTCTGAACTTTTACAGCCACACAGCAATACATGCTGAATTACCTGAACAGTCATGAAAGTTGTGTTTTTCGGAAGTTGATTGAAATCTAGAGTGTTTTTTTTTGTTCACGTGATATTTGGTATGGAACTTGGATTAAGTTGGAAGCCCTCATGCTCATGCGTACTTAGTCCAAGTAACTAGGACTCTACGAATCACCTTTTTAAAATTACATTTGGACATGGTCGGGTGATGGTAGAGTCCTAGGTGCATAGCCGTATTGCGTTACCAATAATGTTTTGTTGCCATTTTCACTCGTACCCCCAATCAAAATCTTCAGATTTCACCCCAAAAACAGTCCTCAAACTGCCTGATGCGCCCCTGTAGGTTTCAGTGGAAATTGGAAATACAAATGGTGGTGGTTAGGTTCACATACCTTTGGGAAGAAAAGAGGAATTTCACCTTCAATTGTCATAAACGCCTTGTTTGAGGCTGCCATTTTGAATTCACGAAAAGTAGACTTGTATATATGGCTCTGGCTACACTGTATCCTGGCAAGCATCAGACAGACCAATCACAGGACACTTTGATTGGTCACCTGATCAATCACAGGGCATTTTAATTGGTCAGGTGACCAGTCAAAGTGCCCTGTGATTGGTCTGTCTGATGCTTGCCAAGAAACGGTCTACATGGTCTAGCCAGAGCCATGGACAAGTCTACTTTTTCTGAATTCAAAATGGCAGCTTCAAACAAGGCGTTTGTGACAAGGATGTTTCCCGAATTGAAGGCGAAATTCCTCTTTTCTTCCCAAAGGTATGTAAACCTAACCACCACCATTTGTAATTCCAATTTCCACTGAAGCCTTAATTCAGTGTCATTAGTCTGGTGGCTGACTATGGAAAAATGTGTAGTAAATAGGGACTAGTTCCCGGTTCATGCCACATGTTTCTTTTGGCACAGTTGATTGATGCAGTACTGAAGAGTTGTTGGACTGGTTGTTTCAGGTGCCAGTCTATTGTTTTGTGTTGCATGTTTTCAATACCTTAAGATTTGGGACTCTCATACACAGTATTGAGAGTCCCAAATTTTTGGACTAGTCTAATCCTGAGATCCCCTTACTTACAACCTGAGATTCTCTGGACAATCGACATAGTCAAACATTTTGAACTGCATGTTTTACCAGTTTAAATAGAGTGCAGCACCCATGTTAACTCGGCTGTTGAATTCCACATAGTTTTGCATGCTTACGTGTACATCAGAAATCCTACAGGTTGCCTCTTTAATGATCGCCCTCTCAAATCTAGATCCTTCTAATTCTACAAGGGGAATTCTGGAGGATTTTACAGTATTTTAGGAAGGTACATGTACATGTATGTACATCCATGGCTCCATTGCTTTGGACGGAACTTGGCGTACTTTAAATGAACAATTGGTTGCCTGCAAAATGGTGGACTTTGAAAAATTCAAGATGGCTCCAAGCAAAAAAAGAAAGAAAGAAAGATTGAGTTGCAGACGGCCCACTGAATGCAGTAACACATGGAAATTGACACCACCTGACACTAGGTGGCACTTTTTCATGGTGACATGATTTGGCTGAAAAGAATGACAGTTTGATGACAAAAGAAACAATTTAAGAGGTGGGGGTGTCACACACCACGCCCTCCTGGCAGCAATGCATGTGACTGAATTCTGTGGCAGTTTCAGGCTTTTGGGCAGTGAATGTATCACAGCAGTACAAATATAATCTTTGTACAGGTTGTACCCACGTTGTATACATCAAGTAGCAGTACAGCCTCGTCTCCATAGACTGTGTGTGCATTCCTTCACTATCGTGGCCTTGTAGAGTTTGAAACCGAGGCTGATTGACGATTCAGAGCGTACTGCACACATATTGGGAAGGCTGCGCGCCCTACATGTATATGCGCTCACGTTATGTCTTGCACGTCACATTACGTACTGTTCGAACATTATTTTCAAGACTGCGTGATGCCTGCACTTTATAGATAAACAATAGTATTGTTTCTACCCCAAGAAAATCCTTCAAAATTGAAAGCACTGCGTCGGGCGTTAAACGCTTCGACTGCAGTCTTAATTTAAATCTCCAAGTGGGAGATTTAAATTACACAATAGTGGGAGATTTAAATAACACAATTCCAGGGGTTAAGATTGCGCAATACATGATTGAAACCAACACGGTGCAGCAAGATATTACCCATGGGAACGAGGTTGGCAGCAGTGTACATGTACTTTGTACATGTACATGTACAGGCATCCATGAACTTGTTTTTTAAATTTGTGTTCTCATAACATGTATGTAAGTTCATGTATGTGTCCATGTGTATTCATGGATAAGGATTACTGGTAGTTTCACACCATTTGAATGCAGTTGCACATTGTGTCACTTATGCACACTGTACAGTTGCATGTATTGTATTTATTACACCATCCATGTTTAGTGTAATTTAACACATCATGTATGTACATTTAGTCATTTTGTTCATGATTTGGACATGTAACCTAATAGGCCTATGATTTGTGTGATGAACGTTATCACTACTTGCTTTACATGTAGCGTGACTTGCCGTCTCAGCAATATGTGCAAAGTAATGTTCTAAATATATCATGTTTTATTTAGTTGCTAATTTGTCATGGTTATTACTTCGACTTATAACAATTCAGCCTTTATTTTATGCACTTTTGTAATGTATTGATCATATATGGGCCTGGTATAATTTTACGCAATTATGCAGTAAAATGCATGTAGTAAATGAATACAACTTCTTATGTACATGTACATGTATGCTAAATGTACATGTACCTTCAAAGAAAGGCACATTCTGTAGCCCTCCTGCTACTTAAACAGTCACAGACAGTCAAAATTCCCTTACACTTCCCCTGCTACACTTTTAACAAAGGCTAGTCACCAGCAGTCAGATCATATGTCAAGCAAGCACTGTGACTAGTCAAACTGGGTCAACAGACAAAGCAGGCAAGTTGTGGTAACAGCTGTTTTAATTAGCACTCACCGGGAGTCAAAGCATAGCTGAATCAAGCTACTCAAACAGTCCCAACCATTCAATCCTACCTTATGTAGGCTGGGAATTCTTAACTGTTGAAAACATTTTCTTGTTTAATTTTGACTGAAAGAACTACTTGGTACAGAGTGTACATGTATGTTTGCAAAGGAGGGTTAAATTTGAGCTTTATATTATAGTGGGCATCAAGCCCCATAGTGGCTTAGCTCGTCATATTCTTTCCTAAACCCTTCAAAAACTTCCCAACAACCATGTGGATTATGAAGGCTGTGGGAGGTTTCCAGTTTGAGGGGTGTCTCCATCAACTTGAAATGATTGACCAGGAGTAAAGTTTGATTGGGTCAACAACTCCCACACAGGCCTAATCTTACCGCCTCAGTCATGCCTTTGTTTTGCTTCTTATCACATCTGTCAGGAGGATGATTAAGAAGTCAGAGCCTGACGGGGAGAGTGGAGAGAAGGAGGAAGAAGGTGGAGACAAGAGCAAGAGAGGACCTGAGACCCCTGCCAAGGCTAAGATAGTCAAGTGGCAATATGATGCTGTAAGTTATCTACATGTATACTATTAGAGAAAAGTCACACATGTCCAACATTATGCTGCTTCTTTCTGTAGTTGATCAGTATGTCAATACCAAGGTTATAAAACAAGCATCCAAATATGTAAGCTGTTTGACATACATGTATGTATGCGCTGTACAACTTGTACTCGTCAACAAGTTCCTCACATGCCCTTTAGATTTGGCTTTTGTTTTCCTGATGTTTGCAGCTGCTATAGATGTTGTTAATTTGTTATCAACCTCACTTTAGAGGTACATGTATATGAAGTGTTCACAATTCAGAGACTTGTTGTTCAAAAATTCTGACTTTTGTTACCTGAAATAGTTTTAGGCAATTCCACACAAAAGTGGACATGGCTGAATATTGAACAATTTATGAAATCTTCCGAACTACATGTACAAGCATCACAATAAAAGACCTTTTGTTTGAGTGGTGTGTATTTGTAAAAAAACAAAACCTGCATATTGGGTTTAAGTATACATGTATATATGTATGCAAAAAAGGAAATCGATAGTTCAACCAGTATGAAGACAACGGCACTCAGAATGTTGAAGAATGTCAAAATACGATTGCCCTTTTGCATTTGTCTAACTGTATTCATCATCTAGTATTGTGATGCAGATTTTGATATTTATATCACATAGTTGCTTTCTTTTATCTTGTCTATCATTACTCCCTGGTAATTCTACTTGATCATTCATATGATGGCTGTGAGACACTTTCATAATCTTCCAGGTGTTAAAAATGTGGAATATAAAGAAACAGTTGTTGGAATCTGTAGAATGTCTCATATAACAAGAATAAAAACACATTTTACAAAGAACAGCAATAGCCAATATCATTGGAGTGTGTAATTCCATGCAAATCAAGAATGATGTATTTGTCATGTCAACTTTGCAAGAAGAAATTCCTGAAAACTATGAGGAAACCATTTCTATAAGTTAATAAACAATTGCATCTCGTGTCAATGCTAACTGCTTTGCCTAAATTAGGATGTGGTGTTCTCATTAAAAAGAGAGTGCATTCAGTACCCAAATAAACTCATGTAGGAATCCTTTAACATTGTTAAATAAAAGTCATTATTATCTTTTTGGGTAGTGCACATCCAATTTGCACTCTGCAAGGCTCTCTTAAATAAGAATTCAATCAATTAACATGTCTATCAATTACAGGTGTGGCTTTCTGCCCCCAATAATGACAAATCACAATTTGTACTATGTCAAGCTTTTCTGTGATGTCATTGACAGGAGACACTGTACAATCTACGAGACAGCCCAGCCAGCAAGAGGAGACCACTGTGCTTAGCAGAGGAATATTGCGAGTGAGTATAGTGCTGATACACTGCATGATTAATAGTCCATTGCAGTCATTGTTGATCATGTCTGGGGCAATTACAGTCTTACATCTGCCATGGATCCCATTGCCTTACCATTCACACCTTAACTGTTGCTCCCTGAAGCAAAGTCTCTCTGGAACGTTCTTCGATCCTCCAAAATCCTCCACTCTGCAGGAACCATTGACACAATCTCTACACCATACCTTTAGGTCACGAAGTAGCCTTGGTCAAGGCGCTAGTTGTTATTCATCCAGCCGTAGCGCGGTAAACGATATCCTCGCTAGCGCTATGCATGTGGTGCATTACAAATACAGCGCGAACAGCGACCTCACGCGGCCACCATTTCTATGCAAATCAGTTGGACCCAATCTAGCGCCTTAGTTCAATCGTCGGCAAAAGCTTATGTTTTTCTTTATTTTGTGCTGGATTTCTAGCGCTCGACCTCGTATGCGAATACAGATAAGTGTAGGCGGGGCTAATATGTGGAGTGTCCAATCACACCTTGGTAAATCCGGACGTCATAAAATTATTTGCAGCTATTCGCCTTTTGCGGACGTGACAGGAACCACAGTTTTTGTGCATTGGTGCCGTGTGCAGAGACACACAACGTGTACGTGTATGGATTTATGTACGGTGCCACGTTTCACTGTGCAAGTTTCCACGCAACGATCGACCAATAAGAAAACGACATTTAAGGTCAGCTAAGGCTATTAACATAATGAGCACCTCCCCCAAATCTCACATGGACGATTGAACCAAGGCGCTAGATTGGGTCCAACTGATTTGCATAAAAATAGTGGCCGCGTGAGGTCGTTTTTTGCTGTATTTTTAATGCACTGCATGCATAGACATAATGACTGCATGCATAGTGCTAGTGAAGATATCGTTTACCGCGCTACGGCCGGATGAATAACAACTAGCGCCTTGACCAAGGCTAGTCACGAAACTGCGTGTAAAGTCATAGTGGGCTGCTTCTACATTCCCCAATCCTCCAAAATCCAGCCAGACCCTCCTGCTGGACGTTGAGATCTGGGAGGGTTATGGTTAATACATGAGAGAGCCAAGTGTGTGAACAAAAGTGTGTGAAGAAAACAGGGTGCTATGTAACCTGACATTTAGATAGAAAGAAAGCCAGTTTACTGCTTGACATGCTGGCCCCAAGAGCCAGCCTTTTGTCTTGTGACTGACTGAGTAATTGAGTATTAATACAGGTAATGTCCTTAGGTAAGACATTGGGCTTCATCTCGTCTAGGCAGGCCTATTCTTGTTCTAATCCTTGTCCATGTATACCTGCATGCATTAGGCATTTGTCATGCCATGGTCTTTCCATATGTACCACTCCCCATAATGTCAGCATTGAGGGGCTACTTGTGCCTCCTTTATTTGAATGTTGGAGATTTACAATGAACTCACTTCTTTTGAGTAAAGAACAGACTGGATTCCCGAGGCGAATTGATGAACCTTATTTATTGATAAATATGTCTAATTTTTTTTTGTATAGTGAGAGTGGTACATGGGATCCGGAGAAGTGGCATGGTGCGTTATCAGGCAAGAGGTCACGGGGACCTTCACCTTTGACCCTACAGGAAGGCGGCAGGGACAGAAAGAAATTTCCAGGTTTGATAGTCTCAACAAATTTCGATATTTTTTTTTAATGTCTCTTTCCTCTCAAGGCACAAGGAATCAACATTTTCCTTAAACCTAATCTTCCCAAATCCTCCAAAATCCTCTTTGCAAAATGGAGGATTTTGCAGGATTGAGGCTATATGGCAAAAATGTATAGCTGAGTTTGGAGGATGCACTGCATCAAGGTCTTAGGCCGGACCTTGTGTTGTTTATGCTCAGCAGTGCGTAAAGTTAAGCCTAGATTATACTTGAAATCCTCCGCACTGCTCCAGGATGTCACTGGCTCTACCTCAACACATTCACAGTGATTGCCGGAGGATTTTGTAGGATTGAGGCTGTGGTCACCCCTGCAAGGACAACACTCATTAAATAATGAAGGATTTTGCAGGATTGAGGCTGTATGCAATTTTTACATGTAGGCAGTTGCAGGATTTTGCAGGATTGAGGTTGCATCCTAGCAAAAAACCCAGGGAGTTAGGGTTAAACTCAAGTCTTCAAATCAAAGACATGCAAACACTTAAATACTGTGTGAACATGATAAAGATATGCCACTGTGAAGGAACCAACATTTTTGTTCTTTTCTTCTAAGAAGAATCAAGCCTTATGTAAAGTAAGTGATTGGACTTGACCTTGCAGATAATATAGCCATGCTGGATCATAAAATATAGTGTCAAATATTGTGCATTCTGAAGATTTCTTACATTCAGACTTCATCTTTTTCTTCCAACTTGGCTGTTTTTTTGGTATGATTTTTGCATGAAATGACAAATGGTTTAGCCTGAAAGCAAAAGCAAGCAAGCGCTGTTGGAGTACCAAACGGGCTCATGACATGAAGATTCTTTGGTGCTTTCCATACCACAGGTGATGTCAAAGATCGTCTGAAAGATGACAAGGATGGCATCATCCTCAGCCCCCAGCGGCGCAGCTTTGGCCACGGTTGTAGCGTCACCACCCCACTCAACACCTCCCTCCCAGCCCACCTGGGACCCAACTTTACTGAGCGCGGGGATGCGGGCAGCAAAGATGCCATGCCTCGCAGCGTCCCCGCCCGACGTATCGGGAGTGGTAGGATCATCACGCGTAACCGCTCCCTGGACCAGGAGGAGGCAGAGCCCAGGGATCGGAGGGACAGTGGGAGATATGAGGACAGAGGAAGAGAGAGGATGTATAGTAGACGTGGGAGCTATGGCAATGCAGACCGCTCATGTGAGTATTTCCATCTTTGTGAGTAGCTTCCCTGGGTCGACCCAGGTAAAGGCATACAGGTGAGCCAAGAGAGCCTAGCTAGTCATACATTCATATGCTGTCATGATTCTAATGCGATTAAATGTCAAAGGTCATCCAGTTTTGGGATTACAGCTTTGGTTGTTGACATTGATGTATTGAAAAACCATAGCCACAAACAAATATGCCCATGTTTGACAGTCTAACTTAGCTTAGTCTGCTTTTCCATCATTTGCAAAAATTGAATAGCCTCCTGATTCACAGTAAGATCTGTCAAAGGCGCCTTTTACATGTCTTCGGCTCAACCACGTTGTAGCCGTGTCCTTCGCAATTCAGCTTCTCAGCTGTGAGTAAGGATGATTAGCCCCCAAATTATCATTATTATTATTATTATAACCCAGGGAGAAGCTCAAGGCAAGAGGAGCCTGAGTGGTTCACAGAGGGTCCTGAGAGCCAATCAGATACCATTGTGCTTCGTGGCTTCAGCAGTAAACTCATGGATGACAGTGGTAGTGACACAGAGGCCAAGGAAGCAGGTGGGTTGCACAGGAACAAATTCAAACAAGAAAGCTTTATGACACATTTAGGTCCTTGTACTAAATCATGCTTGACACATAAGAATGCCTATTTTAACCCAAACCCCAATGTATATATTGTAGTACACAATTCTATTGAGTGCTATTTCCTGTACTAATAGTTGTACTCGGTGAATATAGTCTTAGTTCTCAAGTTTGATTCACCTAATAAGCTGTATCTCCTAATGTTTTGAAGTATTTGGTTACATGACTCTGCTCATATATCGCACAGGTCTCAATCTTAAACCCATTATTCATAAATACCTAAGACAGTTTACGCATTCCTATTGGTCGAGAGCCCGTCACATGGCCGGTCTTAAACGGATGATAAAGACATGGCTAGCTGGTCTTAAACACTTTTCCAGTGTCACATGAAATTTGGACTCCCATGAAATCCGGTTCCTTTTAACGTTTCATTGGTTGAACGTTCACATTCCTCACATATGCATGCGCAATACCACCATGTGAATCAGTATTTCATAGTCAGAAATTCACACTACACCAAGCCCAGCTGCGTTTTGCATGAAGTACGCTCGACGCGCACGCCAATGTCCTTATAAGGTAACGAGTTGTGGAGGGGCATTCTATATTATAGTCAGAGGGGTGTTTTGTAAAACATGAAGTAAAATTGTTGAACAAAATGGTTGGCAGCATTTAGTTTTTGCCTTTTTTGATTTTTGGACCGAAAAGATTTTTTTTTTTACCGAAAAGGTATTTGTGAATGTGAATAAATATGTGTTTGGTCAGTATTAAACACTCTGTTTAAGACCAGTGGGAGTCTGGATGGGTGATAATTACCCATCCAGACTCCCACCGGTCTTAAACAGAGTGTTATAATACCTCCCGAACACACATTTAATGATGTTCGTCTTCCTCACCAGGACCATCGGTTCAGAAACGTAAAGGCAGCACAGAGACTGCAAGCTCCAGCTCCCCAGACCTGTCCCGTGAGAGATCAGAGAACAAGCCCAACGCTAGGGCCACCACACCTAGCAAAGAGTTTGACATCAATGACTTCTTCAAGTTTGCAGATCAGATCCCCATGCCGGTTAGTATGTCTTGGTTTATCATACTGAGATGCATCTATCATTGTATTCAAGATACAAAGAACACAAGCAAACATGCATCTGAGTTGAATATTACTCACAGACCCTTAATCTATTTTATATCCTATACTACCACATGACTTGTAATTTATCACACACACACAGTTAAGCAGGCATGCCCAGGGTTGTACGCCCACTTGCAATTACTGGATTTCCCCTGCAGACGACATATTTGTGCTGTATTTTCTTGTGCCCCTCAAGTTTCCGTCAAAGCCCACTTAATCCCTGCCTGCCAAACAACTCTACAAGTAAACTTCAAGCCTGAGAGAGTAAGGGTAAATTTGTCTCATGTTTGTAACGGCACTTTTCCTGCTGCTGGTCACAGATGGTAGCAAGCCCTGAGGAGACCGAGCGATCAGGCAAGAGCCGTTTCAGCCATCTCTTCACATCCACGGTCAATCGCAGCAGGAGCAACAGCAACAGCCGCAGTAATAGCAGGAAATCCTCACTGCATGAGGATGAGTTGGACTTCTTGAATGGTGAGGGTTTGAGATTGTTCATGTTCATGATGTTGTGAGACACTCTAAAGCCCTGTCCGCACTGGACTTTTTTTGGTCAAACTAACCGAGACAATGGGTACTTTTCCCATTTTAAGTCCAGTGCGGACAGCCTGGGACGTTTTCCTCTCAGTTACTTTTCCTGAGTCCAGCGGTTACTTTTACTGGCCAACTGCTGCCCAGGAAAACTTCCCACGCGCCCAGGAAAACTGACCAGGTCACTTTTCCCGAGACGATAAGTCCAGTGCGGACAGTATCGGTAAAAGCGGCTCAGGAAAGCGTACATCCGGCCCGAGCGCCCTGTTATGCATACAGAGACCGCACGAACCTGCACGTGCAGTGGCCGAAAATTTTGTAGAAACACGCTGCGGTGTATCATCAAGTCCGAGCGGTAAAATCTCGTTAAAATATATATTTCAACGGACAAATACATACACAGAGAAGAGAGATCATGTTCTGAGAATTAAATTGCGGAAAGTCTCTTTCTCCACCGATGTATGTTATTTTCTACGATCCAAATTCGTCCTGTTACGCTACTGAGTCATGCACGGAACATCATGGTCCGGTACCGTACGTAGGCCGTAGTCACTGGTTCCTGGCCCACATCATAGCTTCGATTCTGTAAGCATGCGATGGGAACCAACGAATACTGATGGCACTGCTGCCGCACGGAACATCGTACAGCGGCATGGCTTCGACGACGTGCATCACAAATGGGTCAGAATTATAGGCCTTTTCGTCAAGATTTAGCGTGTCAAGATGAAATAATATCGTGTAAACGATTATGTTGTGCATGCAAATGGCGTGTGTAATATCCAGGACCATTCCTATTTGTTTTCTTTGACAGAGTTGACTGGTCGTAGTAGTCCAGCATTGATGTCCCCTGCCTCTGTCTTCACTCCTATCAAGCCTATGGGTGACCACACCCCCCACCGTCATCACCGCCAACACAACCATCAACAAGACATGTCTGGCCAGACACAGCATTCTCTGCTACATATTCTACAGAGTGGCCAGGGACGAACCATGCAGCAGAGTCACCCTGGTAAGTCATCAATTACTCACCAGTGTTGTAGTCCAGTGCATCACAATGCCTCACAAGGCCATCACAAGTCATCTAGTCTAAATTCAAGCCAAAAACTATCCAAAGGAATTTCGACAATAGCATTCCATTCCTAATACCCATGATGTGACTTGTGATGTACTTGTAACCAGACTAGTGATTTACTTGTGCTGGATTGGACTACAGCACTGTTTCTCACCATGGGATTTTGTCTTGGTTGGATGTACTGAAGGCTAGGAGGTGGTAGGAATGAGAGAATGTACATCAATCTTCAATTCTATAGAAGAGATTGACAACGCAATGTACCAACAAGTGCTTAACCCAATGAAGCCACTATAATCTCAATAATTAACGTCCTGCTTATGTTGGTGTTCAGTAAATCACAGATGTGCCATGGAGCTGTGTACCTAAAACAATGTCAACAAATAAATTCCAATTAAACTTGTGTGCATCAAAACAAAAACACTAAAAAAAACCCTGCAGAGTCCTTGATGCCTTATGTCAAAGGAATACAGTTGGACAACACCTTAAAATGGATGTCAATTTGTCCAGGACGCATTGTGAGTAGAGTTGTATTTGAATCAATCTCAAGTACCATCACACGTCAGGTTACAGGTCATCATTGGATTACATTTTATTTGAACAGCTATTCACTTGAGACTGAAAGAGTCTTAATAAAAGTAACTATGATAAGTAGGATTTGCACTGCCTTGACAACTTGTCTGCTCTGTGACTCTTTCGCCTTGCATAAGAAGTTGATGTCATGTAGAATGTTGTCATGTGTCTTTTGTGCATTTGACCTATTTCATAACACATACTCCAAACATCAATACACATTTAACATTATTTTGTCTATGTGGTCATGTGAATCACACGTGTCATTTGGAATGAATTGGTCAAACTCCTATATTAAAAGATCCTACGCTGTCTAATGTCTGTCTGTCTGATGTCTGTCTGATGTCTGTGTGTCACATATTTTTTTGTAAAAGGCAAAATGCAAGGGTTTATGGAGAGGCTTAGTTTTATCATAAATCTCCATGGTTGTATACATATGCTCCGATTTCACTATTACACTTTTGCTATTACGTAAAACATAACGTTGATCCTTTATTATCGATCATACAAATTTGTACGATTTAAATATGCATTTTGAAACCTGACTCAAAAAACCGTGATTTGATATTACACTGATCATTTGTAAGACACCCAGCTAGCGGGTGACACGCTAAGCATGGCATCCTGCTAGTATTTACATATAATCAACTGTCTTTTCTCTTGACAGCCCCTGCAGGCCATGTGAAGAGCCTGGCTGAGATTGAGGCCAGTCTAAAGCAGACCTCAATCACACCACAGCCAGCCCGTGGCAGGTCAACCCCGCCCAATGTGCCCCTGGTACAGCCCTCAAGGCCCCCTATCAGTGGAGCTGGTGGTGGAGGTGTGGGGGGACTGTTTGCCATGATGGGAGGCCAAGCTAAGGAGGATCAGACAGCATTCAATCGATTGGTGTCTAGCATGAGAGCCTCAGGTAACCTGCCTGCAGGCAAGATGGTAAGTAGACAGGTTATCATATGGTGGCATTGCAACATTTGCATCCTTCCTGAAATCTCTGTTTATCTTTGAAAGACATTTAAACAAATTCCCTCATGTTGGATCTGTTGAAGATTGTTTCTTTTTAAAGTGAGCATTTTAACACCTTTACTTAAATTGTGGTGATTTTTGCTCTGCCTTTTGGGTGGATCTTTTATAGGCTTAACACAACAAATCCTTGCACTATATAACCAGTTTGCGCTAGGATTATTTTGACATGACCAGACCCAGGCCGTCATCTGCGGGTAGCACATCCTGATATTTCCGGTCTTGCTCGCTGCGAGCGGGTCGCAGACAGATATTTCTGGCCTTGCTCGTTGCATGTTTATCTGTCATCCAACGTGAACTGGTTAAAGGAGATTTAAAAATGTGAAACAAATTGTCAGTATGTGACTATATCCAAGCAGATCCAAGTTCAAAGTTTGGCATAATAATACAGTTGAGTTTTACAATTAACTAAGCCCAAAATATTTCTTAATCTTTGCTAGTAGCATCTAATTCTGCATTATCTTTTTTTCCATTGCACTTGAGTGACTTGAAAGACATACTAATTGTTGCTACAAAAAGCTTTTGCACCCGTCAGATTGAATTGAATAGCCTACAGAGTGAATCAATCTTTCAAAACAGCTAGATTGTCACTATGCCCCTGTTATTAAATCTCCCATCCTTTGGTTCCATTTCTGTCCTTGTAGCCACACCCAGTAGAGGGTCGTTCCCTATCCCCCATCGAGGTACAACTCCTACGTCAGCAATTGACCCCCTCCCCTCAGCCCCCCTCCCAGATGCTCTATGGCCCCTCCCACCAGCCCTCCCCTCATCATGGCATCAGTAGCCCCCGGGACCCTGGCGCTGCTGCTGCAGCTGCTAGCATGGTGGCCATGATGGCTGAAAGCCAACAGCATCAGCAACAACAACAACAGATGCAACAACAGCATGGGATGGTGATGGGAAACCAGGCAAGACGGCCACCAGCGCAGGGGCTACCCCCGACCCTACTGGTGCCTGATATTGTCAACAGGTATACAGATATTATGTTCTTCTTATAAAACTTCTATTCTGTGTACATCAAGATTTAATATGACAATAACATTGACTTAGTATCACTGATTCACCCTTAATCCTATCAGGACTGGAGGGGGTGGGGGGGTGGCCAACAAGGAAACTTTATGTAATATCTCTGGAATGTCTCAGCAGATTGACATGAAATTTAGTAACAATTTCCTATTTTTTTTATTGGGGTTGCATTTGGTATCAAAGTCATTTGGTTTCCCATGCCATGGTAACTGATTAACTAAACTTAGCATCATAAATTGTAGTTATTTTATAAAATAAGGGAATTACGCATTTTTGTCACTCAAAAACATGCCACCCCTAAAAAGGGTAATACAGCCCCCTAGCGGTGGCCTTGAGAGCCAATTGTGGACATAATTGATGGATAAATACTCAACATCTTTGCCATATTTCCAAGCATTTGAATAAAAGAATTTATTATTATGCCAAAAACACTGGTTTTGGTAAAGCACCCTCTTGTGGTGGCCACAGCTCTACCACATGAAGTTGTATCATAAAGTGCCAGCCAAATGAACATTTCTGTCAAATTTAAGAAAAATCCGGCCCCAAAAAAGGAAATTCTGAGGGGGAATGGGGCACAGCGTGCCCCTCACTGGTCCTGAGGAGACCCAAAGTACATGATCCTGCTAGGATTAACATGGTTCAGAGCATGCCTTTTTGTGTTTATCTTTGGTTTATTTTCATTTTCTAAAACAAAGATAGTGCATTTACTCTTATAAATAGGCCTTAATCAAACTTGAGGCTGCATATCAATTATTTATATTCAAATGAAAAAATAATGGTGATCTAAAGATAACACTTTTACCAGTGTTGTAGGACTCGAGTCCAGGACTCGGACTCGAGTCGGACTCGAGTCACATTTTTCGTGACTCGGACTCGACTCGAGTCACATTGGAAAATGATTCTGACTCGAACTCCGACTCGACCATGATGATTTGGACTCGAACTTGGTGACTCGTGACTCGAGTCATGATTTTCATCAAAAGAAAAAACATAATATTACGTATTTGTGCGACGAACGTAGCATTCTTTTCTACTCCATTGACAAAACACGGAAAATCATATCCAGGGGCTGCGCATGCACGCCTTGCGCCTGCACGACAAGCACCAGGGCCCGGTGTCATGCCAAAAAGTGTACAACCACATGTACACACATAAGGTAAACTATATACACTGGGATTTACTTAAAAGACAGAATGGATGATTAAAAAATAATTTTAAAAAATTGATTAGTTTGGTGAACAACTAAGAACAAGTGACTCGTGACTCGGACTCCGACTCGAGGCTTGTGACTCGAGACTCAGACTCGAGGCTTGTGACTCAGACTCGGACTCGACATTGGTGACTCGACTACAACACTGACTTTTACAGAATACTAAAATACACATTTGGAGTGATTTATTAGTTAAAGGGGCCTAATTAAATTGTAACATTAAAAACAAGATTCTCCCTTTACAAAAAAAAATATCTGTTATTTGGCAAAATGTTTTTAAAAGTGGAGTTTGGTTTTAAAAATTGTTTGATTTGTGAAATCTTTGCCTGCAGAGTCCCTTCCCCCATTGACCAGGAAGTCATGGCCACCTTCATGTCCCAAGCCCCTCCCTCCTCCCATGACCGCCAGCCTCATCTCCTGAAGCCTACACCAACCAACCAGCAAGAGGTCATGAATGCCCTCCTGCAGCAAGCCACTACAAACCCCACCCTGGCCGCTGCATTACGCCCCCCTGGTGGGGTCACACCCCAGGGGGTCATCAGCCCTGTGGGTCGGGTTCCGTCACCGGCAGTCCCTCAGGATTTGTTGCATCAGGCGTTACTTCAGCAGCAACACACGCCTAGAACCCCCTCACCGATAGGTCAGTCAGTTAACTAACCCCAATCCTTCTAGAACCTTCCAAATCATCAACAGTTTCTTGCTGGAATTTGTGTAGGATTGAGGGAGGTAGAGCCCAGCTACTGTTACTCTCTATGAGGCTTGATGCCCCACGAAAATTAAAGTATCAAGAATGTAGAGTTTAGGTTCTTGCATGGTGGAAGATATGGAAAGATTCAGGTAGGGTTCAAGGAAATATTCAATGGAGTAATGGTTAATGTCTGTGTAGTTTCATTGCATTTAAAAGTTGATGTCTCATGCAGCAGCCTTGACTTGATAGTGGTTAAGATCCTTATTATTTTAGGGCGACATGATGCAATAAATGGGCTTAGAAATAGCATTAAAGAATCAGTCATATGCCCTTATTTGGCAACCCAATTTGGCTTAGCACAATTGGGTCTTATTTGATGACTCTACTTACAATAAGCAGAGAATCTCTGCTACAGTAGAAAATCTTCGCTAATGGTAAGAATGTTTCTTAGAATTTTGCTAGGAATATTCGCTTTTGTCTTTGCATACATTGTATTATTTAGGATTCGATGCTTATGGCCTCTATGGAATTACTGTGTTACTACTGTAAGCACAGAATGATGTTCATTAGAGCAGAATTCTGTGGTTAGTAGATCAATAAAGTTTGTGCCTTTTAGTTGCTTTTAACAAATTTATGTGTTGAGCAGCTCAATGATCTTAATCCAGACATTATGTGGTAAGCGTATTTTCCCTCAAGTAATTATTCACCACATATCTTCATTTTGAAACCCCCCTACAGCTTTTGGACAGCAGTCACCCCTCCCTGGTGGCCGTAGCCCCATTCCCTTTGGCCTGCCCGGGGCCACATCACCCCTCTTACCCAACGCCCGTTCCCCGGTCATACCATCTAGCCCCACAGCCACCCCGATCCGCCCACGTGTACCCTCCCCACAGGAGCTGGCTAAGCACACCCAGAACATCCTGCAGCAGGCATTGATCAAGAGACAACTGGAGTTACAGAAGGAGAAATTCATGGCCAGAGAGTCGGCAAGGTTAGAAGCTTTCAATTACACATGTGCACTTCATTCACTTTCCAATGCCCTATCCAAGGTGCTGATGACTGCTAATCCCTTCCACAACAGTTTGAATCACTTCCACAAAGCATTGTGCGTAGGTCACTTGTCATAAACAATGTACATGTCTACATTTCATGCACATGGGTCATGTGCACATGGCATTGCTGACCATTAAAATTTATAAGATCTATGAAATTCAATTTCAGGAGTGCCCTTGGGAAGGGCAGTAGAGACAAGTGAATGCATTCCTTTGATGTACAGCTCATCTACCTCTGACTTTGTGTCCACTCCACATATGTCAAAGCTCGCTACTTACTTTTTTAAGGTGTAAGAAATTATATGATCCTTCTAAGCCATTCTGAGGAGGTTCCTGATCTGTACAGAGTCTGGGTACAAATACTCATTCAACATTTATAAAGAGAGTAATGGGGAATGCTTGGTTGTGAAGATGCTATGGTTTTGTGCACATTCGGAATAAAAATTAGTTGTGCGTACTTCGCGCCATATGCAGGTGGTTGGATGCTCGCGTGCTCGCGTACACATGGAGCTCTCATGGGAAGCGAGAAACAGGGATGTGATTTCTCCGTTTTTTTCCGGAAATCCGGGTTTTTGGGCCTCAAAAGTCCACCAACGTGAATCATGTGAATCCGTTGAGAAAATAGGGGGGTAGAATGTGCTAGTTAATTATTCATAATGAGTTTTGCTTGCCGAAATATCCGAAATTTACTTACGGACATAAACTTTGTTGATCGATATGTATGCCGCACGCACATATTGAACACCCAATGTGAGAACGAAGTTGAAGACCATGCGTTGCCATTAGTGCGATTATGTGATTTTTCGCTCGGGCCCGAGGTTGTGGTTATGTAGGTCTAGTTCCTGTGTCGGTACTTGAGATGCACGTGTTGCGCTGGTCAGGTGTGCAGACGAGTGCAGCATGGTACACTGGTACCCTTCGCGTGCTAACAGAATCAATGCTATGAAGAAGGACCGGAACCAGTGACTACTGCAAGTACTCACAGGTTCGTTTTCCGTGCGTAATCGGCCGAAGTTGGATCGTAAAAATAGATAAAATTATAAATAGATAAAATTGAAGATTACACAAGTGGTAACATTTACAGTTTGGTTGTTAGTTACAGATCCAAGTCTCCAGGACCAGCTAACCAGGGTCCTATACCAGCCTTCCCAGGCCAGATGCCACCCAGCTCCATGGGTCAAGGACTTGGGTCTGATAGACAACATCAGATACCTGCTAGCAACGTCAACCCTCCACAGACACCAACAAAGGTAAGGCCTAGACAATCTAATCTATTGGATACTGTATCATTCAAGATGGGCCCAACTTCACCATGTTGTGACCTGTGATCAAATGTTACAACTGACACAAAGGGCTTCCGGCTTCCTTCTGTCGAAAAGAAAGGCTTGAAACCATTCTCCATACAATCTTTTCTCAGGCATTTAACCAGCATACGCATGAAACAATCAAACAGTGCAGGCAATTAAATAAGTACAAGCATTTGAGACCTTTGTCACAAGAGAAGGGAGTAGTGAAGTTGGGCTCTTTGTGTTCTCATGTATTGGTATGTCCATGCACTGGCTGTGAATTGTGATTGCACATTGAATATAAAGACAAAACCATTTAAAAGGACCCCATTTTCTTGAAAGTTTTCACTAGGAAATGATTGATTGTTATATAAGCTACTTAATAACATAGCTGAGCCACTGTAAAGTTACACATAACTCAATGCTCTGTAAAAGTTACAAGTATTTAGTATGTGCTATTTGGGTTTTCACACAGTGGAGGATTTTTTTTTTTTTTGGGGGGGGGGGGGAAGGTGCCTAGCAAAAGTGCCAAGGAGGTAGTAGTTGGTGTAATAGAAGTGTATATGCAATTCAAAAGAAACATGTTTGTATTTTGTTGTTTGTGTAGTCAATGCCGAAGATGAATGCCACTGCGTTCACGCCCACGTCAGTGATTCGCAAGTGGCATGAGACACGGGCTGAGGCTAAGATGGCTGGCAATCCTGAAGCTAAGACAGATAGTGAACAGAAGGATGCTGAGGGCAAATCCAATGGTGAGTCTACACATTTGAGATTCTGGTGGATTCTGTGCATAACTATGTCTTCAGCAGTAAATCAGTGTGTATATCAGTATTGTTACTGACTAATTTGGTGCTACTTCTGTTGTGCATGTTGTCAGTTCATTTTTTTCCACTGCATAGTTACGTTGATAGTGTAATACAGGCCAGTATATGCAGCTGACACAACATGGACTGCACAGGTGGCTTTCAAGCTAATACACTGCACGTTGAACACGTTTAGTCTGAAATTGGCAAGATGCTAATCTCTGTCCACAAGTGCAAAGGTTTTGAGCATCAGATGTGACCTTTGCCTATCATGACTCAGCCACACAGCTTCATGAACTGTCCATGCATGGTCTCAATTGGTATCTATACTATGTATACATTCCCAAGTTGAAACTGTCAAGTATCTGTATTGGTATACTATAATTGGCAAAGCATTCAGGGGGGACATGACATCAACTTTTCATAATTTGAATTGGACTATGTCATTTTAAAAGACCTGCTCTCTGATAACTTCTCATCTTCTAAAAGTTTTGGATTTCTTTCTTGGATGACTTAATAGTGTTATGTTTGCTATGGAGGATTTATGTGCAGTTCTTTCATGAAACAGACAAGTTGATGGATTCTTAGGAAATAATCTGTTGCTTATTTTATCTCACTGTATTCATTAAAGCACTGATCTAAAGCACTGCCCATTCTTTTGAATCCTTTTCGTAGACATGATGCCAGGGTCACCTCAGCGTACCCCTTCCAGAGACAAAACAACGCCCAGCATCCTGACCCCAACGGTAACTCTGACCACTGCTACGCCCCCACGATCATCGGCATCCTCAGAACTTACAGTCGGTGGGGATTCCTCAAGCATGGACGGCAATGCTATGAAGCACGATGGTGGCTTATCACCCATGCACAAGGCCAGAGTGCTGCATAGTGGTGAGCAAGGAGGAGAGCAGCATGGCACCCCACCAAGACCGCCAATGCAGCAAGGGGAGAACCTGACAAGTCAACAGCAGCAACAGCAGAGAATGCAGCAACCGCAGCAGCCCATGCCCCATTCCTCTCCATCTAGACATGCTATCAAGCACCCAGAACAGCAACACCAACACCAGACTAACCAACAACCAACATCAGACCATAACTTCACTGGGGATAGAAACCGGCCCCTACGTCAGCCGGCCAGACCTAACAGTCACTCCCCAATCCCTCCAGGCATGGGTGGCCATCGTGGGGTCTCCCCTCGACCACCATTTGGCCCTGGGGGCTTACCCCCTCGGATGAATCCTAACATGATGGCATCGCCTGCTGCTGCCCAAGCTCAAGCCCATGCCCAGGCGGCAGCCCTGGCTCAAGCCACGTTGCTTCGTGGAGCGCTGTTCCAACAAGCTAGTGGTATGCCCCCACCTATGAGAGGTGCAGCACCATTCCCACAAATGCAACAACAGGTACATACTCTAACATCTCTAGACTTCCAAACTTGAATAATCAATCATGCTAGCAACAAACATTACAGGCAGTTGGAGGTTTTTGTTCACAGTGCTCTTGACGATGTATTTTAATTGTTTTGACCTATGAACCTGCAAGAAACAAGACAGTGTCACATCCACATCACTGTATATGTGATCACCTGGAAAACTGAAATGCACTCACATATTGAAAAGATGAATCTTGCGGTATCATGTCCATCCATGGATTCATTCCAGCGGTTTGCTTCTTTTTTCCTTCTAGGCTCAGTCCCGTCCCAACGTCCCTCCCCCAATGGCCTCCATGCAGATGCTGCTGAATCAGATGAATGCCTTCCCAGGAGCCAACCAGATGGCTGCGTTAGTAGCAGCTGGCATGCAGCAGAAACAGCAACAGCAGCAGCAGCAGCAGCAGCAACAGCAGCAGCAGCAGCCTCAACACAGACCGCCACATAGTAACCAGCAGCAGTTCAACCAACAAGGTTTGTGACAATTCAGTGAACAACCCTTCAAGATCATTCCACATTCACCAGGAAGTATATTTTATTAGATTTGCAGTCTAGCCAGTGACTCTGCACAGTGGAGGATTTTGGAGGATTCGGGAAGCTTCCTGTCACAAAGCCTGTGGTCATCTTAACCATAAGATTAAGATAACAGTTTATATATTTCAAAGATTTCAGTGACATGATATCAAAGGAAAAGAAAACTGTAATAGGTATCTTTACCCGCTTGTGGACTGAGTTTTGAGCATGGAAGAGCTTGGACACAGTATGTTGTGCATTTTTATACTTGGATCCTTTGATGAGCTGATTTCTATATCTCTTTCAGATATGTTCAAGCACATGTCAGAGATGTCAACAGGACAGCACCAGTCTCATCAATTCCAACAACAGCAGCAGCAGCAGCAGCATCATCAGCAGCAACAACAGCAGCATCAGCCCCACCCTTCCCAGCATCGCACACAGTTTGCCTCCCCACCCCAGTCCCACAACCACATTGATGACAGCGGTATTGGTATGAACGGCAACGCTGGCAGACACTCCCCAGTCAACCAACTTGCCAAGTGGTTTGGAGCTGACGTGCTGAACAAACCCCTGCCCCAGATGGGTGCCGTGCTGCCTCAGGGACAGAAGGTCATGTCGGTAGAGGAGCTGGAACGCCAACAGCAGGTGGTTGGTTGAAGGTTAGAGATCAGAGGTCAGCGGTTAGGTCAGGGTAGTAGGCTAGTTTAAGAGGTGAGGGTCAATCAAGAGAGTATTTCAGTTGTGTAAAAAATATTTCAGTTCCTGATACAGCTGGGAGTTAAAGGTCATCTGGTTAAAGGTTACCTGAAGTCAGGAGTCATTAATATCTGGTGTAGTCTGAAATGACAGAATACAAGTGTTTGCATGCACAGGTGCAGTCACTCCAGTAGTGACTTGGACATTTATTGCATTTTAGGACAATGATCTTTCACTCATTCGATTTTCACTGTTGGACAAACATAACATGTACACATTTGTAAAATATGTAAATTATTGTATTTGTGCAAGTCCCCCCCCCCCCTTATTTCCATGTTGGTGGATTTTTTTCCATTTTTTTGGTGTTGTTGATGGAAATGTTGATATTCATTGTCGACACAAATAAAAATAGTTGAAGCATCAAATTGTTTTCTTTATCTTTGATGTTAAAAGTGAAATGATGTGATTCTCAAGAAAGGATGTCCTTGTTTTTTTAAGATGATGATAATTTTCGCTGAAAATAAGAAGATTGTTTTCGTTAATGCAGAAGAAATTCTTCACTGAATGTTTGCATTGAAATCAAAGTGTAGTGTTCCTGTAGTGCAGTAGTTTAGATTGATGTTCAGTGTGTACTAGTAGCACCTTTATGTTCAGTTATGTGTAGTTTCTATCGTTTATTGAAAAGTGTGTTGAAACTCCAAAAAGAATTTTTGAGAAGAGAAAAGTTGCTTTACTACGGAAAATCCGCAAAAGTTGAGTAAGTTTCCTGATGTCCAAGCAAGATCAGATAGTTTTGTATGTGAGATTGGTCATTGCCGTTATAACTTCAATTTGTTTATACAAAGAAAAAAAAGTGAACATTAATGTATATAAACAGCAAAAAGATTTCAATGTTCAAACAGTTGTAAATATTGTATTACTTTTGTCTTCTTTTTTTTGAAAGAGAGAAATAATTACAAAAGAAGCTGTACCTTGAAGAAGACAAGTGAAAGATTAATTCCTCTCTTAAAGGGGGAAAGAATGAATGTAGTCAAAGTAGTTGTATGTGTTTGTTAAGTTGAACTTGATGTTTATTTCTTGCAATCTGTAATGCTGTTTAGGTTTGTTTTGTTTAAAGTGGTTATCTCAACACTAAGTATGTGATTGTCTTACTGAAATGATTGCATAACGATACATTTTGTTTGGGCCCTTGCTTTTTGTATCACAAAGTGATGGTTCATTTGTATTCGTGGTTCTTTTTCAACACATTGTGGAAATGTCAAACTTTTAATTTAAACAATCCAGGGAAGGTATGCAGAGGTAAGTTAGATTTCAATTACTGTTAACTTTTGTTGCGTTCATTTGGTTGTAAATTCTTGTACATGGTAGCGTCATAGTGATGAATGTACCAGGAGCCATCATGAACCACATGGAATGCATGGAGGTATGGATGTAGATATGCGTTTGTGGATGAGAACGTCATTTGCACATTATGAAAAAAGGTAGCCAATTGAAAATGGATAAATATATGCCATTCACACCTTGAAATACATCTGCAAAACATTTTAACTTCTCTCCCATCCGCATCATGGGGAGTGAATGACGTGCAGATACTTGATGGCGCGGAAAGTGAATTGAACTGCTTGAAAATATTTGAACAATTGCAGGCTACTCTGGATGCATTTTGTTTAACTAATAAAGCTTGCCATTTAGAGCAACTACTGTGCTTATGCCAAGAGCTCAATACAATTGAGTACAGCATGGCAATCGCACCATGTTTAGAACAAAATGTATTGGGAGATGGGTTCACATAATATGAGTTAACTTTAACTCCCTGGGGTGATTTACTAGGAACCTTCCTCATCCTTGCAAATCCCAACACCATATGGTAAACTGTGCACATAAAACAATTGGACTCTGTTTATTTGTGGTATGCCTAATCCCACTCAAAGCAGAGTCATTTTACTAGTGCAGTACTCATCCTAACAGATTCCAACAAAGCATGGTGTTGGAGTTTGGCTGGTTGGGGATGGTTAGGGTTAAGCATACACAAATAAAAGATAAAGGAGTCAAAGCTTTTATTGAAATACTTTCACCAAGATGTCACTCCGACATTACTGTTCGGATATTCATTGAATCGTCTTTTTCAGTAGTTGTTATTGCCATCATGAATGTGTGCCATACTATTTTGAAGTTTGTACCAAAGGAAATGATTGTTATCAACGTGTAATATATGATGTCCCAGAACATTTTGCTATGAAACTCTCTGAACTTCTTCACAATTTGCCAAGACACATATGCAGCTCTGTGTATTTAACAAAGAATGGAAAAACGTGTTTGTGGAAACTTAAATATTGAAAGTATTTCCGTGATATAAATCACGTTTTGTATTGTTCAACATGTTTTCCGCTTAAAAATTCTATTCAGTAATTATAGTGAACTTTGCATAGGTTCACCATTTATATTCTTTGTCTCATTATGTTTTCGTCATTAAAAGAAGGTTGTACAAAAGAAATACAGTTATTGTTTTTGTAATGGCTTTATGAAGGACAAGAAAAGAACAAAGCCTGATTGAGTTGATGTGCTAATAAGTTGTTTCATTTTGAATGATTATTAGTGTAATAATGTGAAAAGCTTAGTGGTATCACTTGTTTTTGTACCTAAGGTTGGCTCATGTGTTCTTTGTATTGGGCTGACTTGTGCTAGTTGACTTTGTTTGAAAAATAAGTTAACAAAGTTTCCCTGTGGTATTTTGTTGTGTTATTTTTGTCCCATGTGACCTAAATCAGATTGTCTAACTTTAGTCTAAATGACATCACTTGTAGTTCTCCTTTTGAATTGATTCTTTCTTATTTCAGCATTATTTTATCTACATGCATTAAGAAATGAGACACTTTTTACAAAAAGGCATTTCTACTAGTAACTTATTACAACACATTGCACTGCCAAAAAAAAGTAGTATAAAAATAAATAATAAAATGGGAGTGGATGGCTGGCAAAAAGTCATCGTCCCCGAAATTCCTTTTGTCCCCACTTAATCTCCTCAAATCACAAAAACTGAATGGAAATAGATATTTCCAGTTGATCAATGGTGACGTTTGAAGTTGTAGGTCACGTCTTTGTTACTTTGTATGTTGTCTTGAGAACAATTGCTTTATCAGTGGCTCCTGTGTGTAATTGACATTTGGAACACACTGCTCTAAGTGTTGTTTGTTGTCAAACATTGTGGTTGTGCATTATTTTTGACTTTTGTTTGTTTGTCTGTTTGTAGGGTCTGTGAGACAGGCTACACATGTAATATTCGTTGGAAATTAAAGGGGATATATCTTAGGAATAAAAAGAACAAATGTAAATGTACATCTTTGAATTACAAAGAAAAAAATGACGCCTTTGTCAAAAAATGGAAACATCAGAACAAGGCGCCGCAAATGATTGTCCTATTTTGGCATGCTGCATAGAGTATATAATGCCATTATCTGTTTTGCTTTTTAGTAATTTGTGGTATTTGGTTCATCTGCTGTTTAGTTCTCAGGTCAGGTCTATCGTTGAGTTCTTTGTTTTGAATCAGTGAATATCAGGTATTAAACTGTAGTTTGTTGACACTGTATCTCGTACTCTTATGCAGTATCTATGGCATGAAATACTAGGAAATAGCCAATTGATTGAAAAGTCGTTTCTTTTGAGTAAGTGCATCCTCTTGTAAAGTTAAATGTTCAATTGTCCCTTCAAGACAAAGTCATAGGTCAAGTTTGCATTTTTGTATCAAAAAGCGAAGCATGAGAATCTTCATATCTTACTGTGGGGGGAAAATGAACCTTTTTTCATGCGCTTTGTTTTGACTGCATGTGGAACTGTCCAGTAAACGTTGAACTCCATCTTGTATAACTTTCCAGTTCTAAGCTTCTTTTGAAGGATACACTATTTCTTGTATAACAGCAAGTGTAAAAAATCTTGAAAAATACATGTGTCTTAAGGTATCTTGATGAATTTTGTAGCTTACAGATTCACAGGCATTTGGAATGGGTAAGCGTACATCTTACCCTTGTCTTTGGACTTGTGTGTATTTATCATGCTTTCTGGACATTTCAAGAATAAAAGGACATAACATTTGATCAGCAATTCTTCTTTGAATGCTGTTTTGCCTTTTGTATTCGGAACCATTTGCCATTATAGTTTATTCAAATAATGTTTTGAAAGCAATCAGTGATCATTGAAAGCAAACTTGATGCACAATATTTGGCATTTGTTACAGTAAAAGCGGCTTGATAGCAGCAAATGCGAGTGCAAAGTTGTGACTTCTTAGCTGCAAATTTGCATTCTTGGACATATTCAACTCAGGTGAATAGACCCGAGACACAATGGTGTCATGCTTTGTTTACATGTGTGCTTTCTTACCGGAGCTTGGTGGATCTTGTCCCCACCTGGATCCCTTAAGAAAGCACACATGTAAACAAAGCATCACGTGACTGATTCGGTATGTCTTGGGACATTTTGCCAAGATTTGGGAAGTCGGTAGACCAAGACATTTTGTTCGACTTGGCTGCGTTTTCATTTGCAAGTTAAAAGCCCTAGAAGCCACTACAGATGCAGTAATCCGCAACTTACTATTCTTCCAAAAGCGCCCAATATAAGTCAATAAAAATGACTCTAGCTACAGCAATTTGTCAATATCTAGTAGTCTTTATTAGCATTTGCAATGTACACTTGTTCATCAGCATCTTCCCTTAATTATTAATTTGCAGTGACAATACTTGAAACATTTTACTTTGGGGCCTTCAAACACTTGGTGTGTAACACATGGGGTCATGAAATCATTTGACGTGCTGGGAGAGGTAGCACAATATGCACTGTATGATATGGGTAGTCAGTCATGGCTCTAGCATGAAACACCATGTCACCTGTGATTACAAAATTGGATGCTGTGGTCACGTGATCCCAAATTTCAGTAAACCATTCTCTTCTACGCTACATGTATCCCTTAAAATATAAGCTCCCAATTTTATTATGTTCACTGTAACATTCACTGTAACACAACTGCAGGATTTTTAAGTGCCATTTTCTTGAGAATCAGTTTTACAACTTCAAGTAAGTTGGTCTATATTTTCATTACTGAATTCAGTACCCCATAATGTTGTATACCATTAGAAAGCTTGTGTTCTGCATAATCCAGATATATAAATATCTCAGTTCTTCAAAAGTGTAACTTTAGGCTCATTTTGTGGTGATGGGTCACAAATGTTTGGGTTGCCTGTCAGCTGCCTGTGGGCATTGTGGCAAACATGTAGTCTATAGGACCCAAACAATCAGCATTATGGATATTGCCATTCAACTTTTTATCAGTAGACAGTTCCTCGTACAATTTCCCCATTTTCTGAAGTCTGTCAGGTATGCAGTCTGCTGATGTCAAAATCAGAATTCAAATTCTTAAATTGGTCTAGTTTCAGCACTGCCAGTCATATATCTAATGGTTGGTTAGTATTCGCTTGAATGTCAATGCAAATGCAACTTTGTGACATCATGGTAATTATGTGCACTTCAACTCTGGTTTATTTCTTTGCAAATGACATGTCGCATCATGATCAATCACAATTGTGTGAAGTAACAGGCCTTAACTCCTGTCCTTTTAAGTTCAATAAATTTTTAATTTACAAATTGAATGTACAATTTAGAATATTAACACAGGAAAAAAACAACTTGACTTAAACTCAGCCATGGCATGGATCAATGTATTCCGGGGGTTTGAATATAATAAACAAGCACAGAAATATTCCAAAAGAAAACTATAAGACGGATGACTTGTGATAGATGTGTTTGAATACAAGCCAGAATGAAAATCCATGGCAACATTGCTCCAACAGTACACAGTAATAAATATGTGAAATGCTGCAATATTATGGGTTTTGGATGGTTGCTAGAAAGTGCTTTGAGCCACTTTAGTGTGCTATAGCACACCATGATTCAGTAACCTAAATTCATCAAAATGTAGATGTGAATGTCTTCCTATCTACATTCACAGACATGTCTACCTTCCTGGTCTAAAACCTCTTAATATCTACACCATGTTCTATGCTTATGAGAGAGTTGAGAGGACAAAACTCTTTGTGGTGCTGTGAGGATTGGAGCATTTGCAGAACCATTTGAAGCCAGCAAAGTCCGAATTGTGATATTAAATTCTGCGAAAAGATGAAGACAGAAACAGATTTTAATGATCAGTTTCATGATATCCTCATATTTCATGTATAGACCATTGCGAGCACACTAGCATTGTACTCTCACGAAGGCCCCATTCAATGGAGGTGGCATTGTGCAAGTTAGTGTTCAGATAGTCAGGCAGTTGCTTTGTACAATAGCAGGCACAGTGCTGACTGTATAGTGATAGTGTACTCGGAATGGTCTATATTTAAGCTACTTCAACAGGAATGTTCTTTCAAGCACTATCTATGAGCACGGTACTTTTTCAGCCATTGAAAGAGTCTTTTTGTTCATTGTTTGGTCAGTGTGGACATGCACAGCAAGAGAGTAAAAATAGCCAATAACATGTGATGCGCTCTCGGCAAATCTTTCCATAGCTTGCCTGACTCATCCTCCCATACCGCTGAGTGAACTGTGGAGGATCTTGTAGGCTTATTGTTTATCAAGCAATGTGACTGCAAATGTGCAAGACTATATGCAAACACATAGGCTCACTTTTTGACTATCTGGATGACGTCTTCATCGTTCAGTACATGTTCTTTGCCTACTTTCTGAGGGTTGTGCTTGACTGATGATCCCCACACCAATGCACTGGAGAGAAAGAGTACAAAATACATATATGTCAGATCCAGTCACGACAAAACTAAAAGACTTTGGGATTGCTACCTTATGTTTGATAACTTGCCAACCCTCGGCACGGGACATCACAAGCATAGTGTGTTCCCTGTGGGTACAAGTAATATTCACAGATAGAACCAGCCATTCCTAGCAACCGTATACATGCATTGGCCATTTCAAAATGGGTAGACTTGGTTCCCCCACGCTATTCCCATTGAGTTCCAATTGAGACACACAGCATTAGGGACGATATTGTCAAATTTAAAAAAAAAAGGCTGAAAACTGGATTACAATGTCTTTGTCTCAGATCCAAAAACTCTGATTTTTGACAAGCGTTTGAAAAATCTCATACCTAACCCCTTTCAACTGACTGAATCCTCGAGAAAGGTGGTAGGCCATGACCTACAAAGAGTTCAGTTTGCGTGGTTCATACTACGACAAATTTATTGTTTGACATCTAGATTATTTTACAAAGTATGTCACAATTCTTTTTTTTTATTTCTAACCGACCATACATGCATTGACCTTTGAACTGTAACCTAGACTTTGTTTAACTGTGATCAGCCTCAATGTTGTTGATGAAATGACTCACTATTTGAAGTCCTTCATAATGCTTTTGTGCAGGTTGTTGCAGAAATCCTCTACGGCCAGATGACCTAGCTTCAAGATGACCGGTGCCTCATAGTCTGGTAACTGACCCTTGGGTTTGGTATATCTAGTACACAGAGAAATGGGGATTAACAACATCCATTACTTCTAGTTGTCTACTATATGCCCTTTGAATGCTGCCTTCTTGTTGCAGAACCATACAAGGAACTGTAGGGTCTACTCAATGAATGACACACTGCACATTGGTTTGTGTTTTTGAAATGAATGGTTACAATGTAAACATCAGGTTACAATGTAATGTACAAAACACATAGCATCAGTGTGAACAATGACTGTACTAAAGAGTGCAAACATAATACAAATGGTGCTCAAATAATAAAAAAAATTATAATAATTACTGATAATGGGTCACTAGGGAGACATTCTCATAGACTTGTACACAATTTTTTTCCCAACTTTATTGACCCTTAACCCCAATTTTACTTTATCCTACCCCCACGAATTTTGGCATTTTTACTAACTGGACCACAAACAATCGATGCAGCCTAGTTGCGGCGGTAAATCTGTTTACTAATCAATAACTCCTTAATCAAACATGCTTTTGTGAAAATGGAGACACATAAGGACTATCTAACAACTGGGCTATTGCATCAGTTATATCTTAAAAAAAAAATTATTTGGAGAAATGTACACAAATCACGATTTGAAAAACTGACCAATTTTCATCACAATTTTCTCAAAACTCTAAAAGCTTTCTACTGCTTTTCCAACTCATACGTTTGTAGCCCTGTCACAACGATTCATGTTAAGCACAGTGCCTTACATTCTGACTAGCTGCAGGTACTCCCACATCTTCTCCAGTAGATCATCAAAGTTCCACTTGTGGTGAGCTGAGATGGGCACACAGTGAGGTATCTTGTAGATGACGTCCAGCTCCTAAAAGACCAAAAGATGTCGCATCAACTACGTGTTGAATTTGTCAACTTAAATTGGCACACACAAAAACTTTGATCATAAATTATAACTTACATGTCGGTCTCACAGTATTTAAGTAATAGTTTGCAATGAACTACCTGAAATTGTGCAATTTACCCCTTTTTTACTTCTTGTCTTGCCAATTTTGAAGTTGTCTTGCCAATTTTGAGGGCCTTTTGGTTTTATGCCAATGTGAATTTCAGTATTTATTGGGAAAACATTGAAACTATCTTAAGCAGATGTTTCAGTGTTACACCTGCTTCAGAACACTTACCACAACATTTTCATTCATTTCTGAACAAACCTCTTTGAATGTACTCCATTTTAATAGGTTCATAATTTGTTCAGCAACTCCTTAAACTGTATAGACATTGTCTAAAGTGACACCATAGCAACAGTGTACTTTGATGTTAGGAAATACCATGTTAATTTTAAATAGTAGAAACAGTACCGAAACTTCAAAAACTATAAATATATAGAACTAATAGTTATCCTTCTTTATTCATATTTTAATAAAATGTAAGAATGTGCAACACAATAATGTTCTGCTTGTGATTTCCATGCATCCAAATGCAAGTTAAAATGGGTAAAATCAAGTTAATGAATGCTGAATGAAAAGGTCAATGATTAAAAGAGTGTGGAATACTGAAGAGTCGTTCCTGTTTTTAAATGTAATGAATTTCTGTCGTTAACCCACCTCTATTGAGATCTGATCAATCTTGTTGAGCACATAGATGCAAGGGATAAAGACACGATTGCCTTCTACTACATCAATTAGATCATCGGTGGTAGAATCACTACGTAGGACCACGTCCGCATTATGGATCTTATATTCAGCCAGGATAGTACGGACCATGTCTGAGTCTAGCGTGGACTGGGGACAGGTGGTGGTCAGGTTGATGCCTCCTTTCTCCTTCTTGCGGAAGCCAATGTTTGGGGGACTCTTGTTCAACCTGTGGGTTTCGTTTCAAGCCATTGAATCAGGATGGGACAAAAGACAAATGAAAGCGATTCAAATCGGTTAGGTATCGAAGCATGCAAAGGTCAGGACTTTAGTCAGCATTTGAATGTTGTTTCCAAGTTGCTGGAGTTTTATATTTTAATGCAGTTTTACTCTTTCGGTTCCACACCTCGGATATCCTGGGTTCTGTTTCAAACATTCAGATCCCACACCTAGGATATCTCAGGCTAGATGGATGTGGAATTCAGTGTTGAATACAGAAGGTTCCTACCAGATGATTGCATTTGAAATTCATTTCAGTGAAATATTTTTTTTAATAAAAAAGGGTGCACATGGCTGAGCTTGTTTGATTGACAAGTTTAACTTAGTTCTACGTTGATTTCCAACTATTTTAAACTTGGGGGAGTTGCAGTTAGGATATCTTGTCTAAATGGCCACAGTAAACTAACAACAAATAGACAAGGCAATGTGGCTGACTAGTCACATAGGTATTACTTAACGGCTTATTTAATTCAATGCTAACTCAGCGACCATGGTTAAAAGACATTAGTGTGGTGGTACATGCTCATATACAGGTAACACACATTCTTAAATTTGGGATCCCGATGTTCTTGACAAGTTGTCAATATCCTAATGGTCAATGAAGCATCGAGTGTGCTGATACAACGTGTGTGCCACCACCATACATCTCAACGATGGCTTGTGATTGTGCTTGCTGGATACATTTGTACAGCCACACATTTGAGCCAATCAGGATCATATTCAGGATGAGTTTGGATATTTCTCTTCTATGATTGGTGGACCATCAGACCTTACCTGATACCGAAGCCTTCCAGTTCATGCTCCAATAGTTTCTTGTGTTTGAGGGGTTTGAGGACATCTAGAACCATGAAGATAATACTGCACGTCCTGGCAACTGTCAAGTACAAAGAAATAAAATGGATATCGTTACAGAACCATACATATTGCAAGAATGTATACACACAGTTATAGAAAGCTTGTGCTATGCTTTCTAGTGTATCTAGAACATTTTGAAAGGTTGCGCTTGCTGTATGTGTAATCAAGCTTATTGAAATTTGAAGTCTAAACATAATTTTCCATCAACATTCTGGCAAAGACTGCAGTAACATGAACTGATGCATAACTTTTTTCAAGTACGCAAAGCCTGGTATAAATCTCATAATTTAAATAACAAAAGAGAATGTACTAACTGACCAGCAATGACCTGACGACCTCTGCCCTTTCCGTCTTTAGCGCCCTCTATGATTCCAGGAAGATCCAGGAGCTATCGAGAAAACAAACAATTCCAATTATCAAAGTGATAAGGGTCAACGTTATGAAATCGGTCCTTGATCATAAAACAAAAGTGTCCTTATTTTGCTCAAGTGAAAAAGCAACATGGCACCCTCAAGAGTTCCTGACAAGCTGATATCCACACCAGGGCAATACCACACCTACCTGTATCTTAGCTCCCTTGTATCGGATAACACCAGGCACAGTGGTGAGTGTAGTAAACTCATAGGCAGCTACTTCAGAGTACACTCCGGCTAGGTTACTCAGTAGTGTGGATTTACCCACAGAAGGAAAGCCTACAAAATATACAACAGACAATCTCCTCAGACATCAACAAAGCAGTTCGACAATAGACTCCTGTTTTATCTTGAAAACCTTTTTGTTGGAGAATATGTGACAATATCTCCCACTGTTCAAAAAATGAAACTTTGAAAATTCAACATGAATGATAAAATCTGTCAAATACAGAAATCTTGATTTCTGGCCTCCGACATTGGGGCCTCTTTTTCAATGAACAACACAGAAGATCAATCATGGGTGTGAGTGACCACTGATAAAAGTAGCTGAAAACAGCTGAAAAAGGTGTACATTGTAAAAAAGCTGAACTTTGGAAATCTCCTATACTTTTGCACACAGCAAGTGACGGAAAAAAGCTGAAATCCAAAACAAAAAAGCTGAAATCAGCTTTAAAGCTGAGATTTCACACCCCTGATTAATCTTAACCCCTTGAGTGATTTACCCTCCTTAATCTTGCAAAATCCAATACCATATGGTAACTCAACACCCAAACTGTTGGACTCTGATTATGGCGGTATGCCTAACCCCATAATCAGTTTACTAGTGCAGTACTCAATCCAACAGATTCCAACAAAACATGCAGTTGGATTTTGAAGAGTTGGGGTGGTTAGGGTTAAATATTTCCAGATGGTTTGACAGATTTTTTTTAGGTAGGTAAAAATGTATTAGCAACCACTGGGTTTGATTCCATGTACAGAGCAAACACTTCGCATCATATTTGTTATGTTTTATACTCACCAACAAAACCAATTCTTGCATCTCCTGTCTTTGCAACATCAAAACCTAACAAACAAAAAAAACACAAAAACAATGAGGATTTTTTTAACCTTTGGCAGCACGGATAAACAAGTTTTTCATGTGTACATGTAGTTTGTTGGGACCGCTACACCAGCGCTTGATTGAGTGAGCTGAATCCAGCAACTCACCTTCCCCTGCTGGACCACCTCCTCCCTTGGGTGTGATTAACTCTCGTCTCAGCTTAGCAAGACGAGCCTTGAGAAGACCAAGATGTGAACTAGTGGCCTTGTTCTTCTGGGTACGAGCCATCTATCAAGACAATACATGCATATAATAAATACCAATCATATGAATGCAAGGGAATGAAACATGGAATGACTAGAAAAATGTGGACACTTTCAATGCACCATTTTATTTTTAATTTTTTTTTGGGGGGGGGGGGGTTTGCTAAAAAAAGGCAGGGATTTATTCTGCTTTTGTCTGTTGACTGAATTTGACTTGTCACAGTGCTTGCTACAAATATTATCCGACTGTTGGTGACTAGCCTGTGTAAAAGGCATGGCAGGGGAAGTGTATTGTTATTTTGACTGTCTGTGACTGTTCAAACAGTAGCAGGGTTAAACCACAAAAAGGAAACGTACTGGCTTCATTGATATTAATATAAATATGCTAAACACAAGTTGACTAGATTGGACATAATTCAAATCATCTTCTAAGTTTAACCTGATATAAATAATTAACCTTGCTCAATTTACAAAAACCCATCAGAGGTCATTTGTTAAAGACACCCTCCTGCTGTTTAAAAGGTCACCAACAGTCAAAGTTTCCTTCCACTTCCCCTGGTATACTTTTAACACCAATGGTCACTTGACCAATTTTAACCCAAGTAACAGCATGGCTCAGAATGCACGTTTCCATAGGAGGGTTAATTTTGATGAAGCCAATGACAATTAAAATTGCCCCAAAAAGCTTTGATATGACTGAGCCAGATTAAGAGAAAAAATATGAGGGCAATTCCACAGTTAGGGCCTACATTACTTTTTTGCATCCATTTACATTCCAAGTGCTTTGGTCTTCATACTATAAATTACTATCATTAATACTAGTTGGACTATCTCTAGTTCTTTTTTCCCCCATAAACATACCAAATATTCAAAGGTTCCCTGAATATTCAGACACATCTTTCTATGTTTGCTATTTTTTTTTCGGGGGGGGGGGGGTTCTAGCTGTCCCCCCCCCCCCAAAAAATAAACCCCACCCTAACATGCCTATTAATTATTCATGCTAATGACTGTCCTAGTCCTACCATCATGACCATGGAGGTGTCCTACACATCAATCAATATAAAAAGAAATCAGTGTTTCTTGAGATTTCATTGAAATAAAAGCAAAATGTCCATACATAGTGGACAGTTTCCAATTTAATTCATTATGTTAATTATATCCTACATCATCTGACAATACTTTCTTAACTGTTTTCTTATTATTGTCTCTCACGCAGTATAGCGGGTTTTTTTAGGCTAGCGCGCAGCATAAGTTTGTGCGTAATTCCAGTTCATTCCAGCAATGCTCCAACCACACTTGGCACAGGCTGATCAGGATTGAAGTTGAAGTGTCGTTGATTAACTTTATATTTACTGCCATTTATACGATTTCTACAACAAATGTTACAATAATATATTGCAGAAGTGTTAGTTGATACAAACCTCGGCTTCGATCTCCGAAATTTTCTCGAGAATCCCCATATTTAATGGGAATTATTGACGCAAACAACAGAAAGCTGTGAAATTTCTTCACACCACGAGTATGATCTAGTTCCCAGACGATGTATAGGATCATTATTTAAGCCATCCGGCCGTACGTGGGGGTACCTGCTTTTTTATTTCCCATAATTCCATTGTTTCAAAATGGCAGCGCCCATGACACGCATGTCGGTCTTAAATTGCTGCAGTGTATTCCTCAAAAACATTAAATATTCGAAGCAGATTCCACCAAGAAAAATAAGTCAAGAAAATGATCCAACTTTCTGTCCTCCATTTCGAACATTTGTAAGCAAGTGGCGCCTTATGTCTCCAAGAACTTACGCCCACAATGACGTTTCTAGTGGCGGGAAACTGCAACGTGAACGTGCCGCGGCGGGCCCAACGGACGATGTTCGAATTCACGGTGACAGTACAGGGGCGAGTGTGCCATTCAGGAGGCGAGTGGAAAAAGAGGTGTGGAGTGCGCCAGATGATGCACCAGTCACAGCCAAAACAGTGGCAATGAAAATCAGGAAGGAACAGATGTTAAACAGAAAAACGGAGGAAACATCGAGTTCAAATTCATCCGAAAAACCTGAACAAATCAATCATGGTATAAAGCCTGTATTTCTTTCTTTCAATTTTTCATTAGGTAATTAAACTACATTAGTGAAATGTACAGCAATGACATGAATGAGATACCTGTTGGTTGGTATTGTATTAGCCCCATAAATGTGGCCAATATACTGGACTACCTCCGTAAATAAAGGCCACAATTCCACCATGTACAAAAACATGTCGAACTTTGTCAAATTTATTTTTTCACATTTAGGCTTAGTTTGTACATTTTGTATTTTACTTTTGCTTTAGAGGCATGCTCACCCTCTTTATAGGCTAATCAGAAAGCGCTGCCTTTTTCAGATGTCTATTTTTCGTGAAATTTCCAGATTCGTTTGCACACATTTGCGTATCAAAATTTTAAGATGAAATTTCACGAAAATTAGACATCTGAAAAAGGCAGCACTTTCTGATTAGCCTACTGTATAAAGAGGGTGAGCATGCTTCTAAAGCAAAAATAAACTACAAACTAAGCCTAAATGTGAAAATCAAAATTTGACAAAGATCGACATGTTTTTGTATATGGTGGAAGTGTGGCCTTCATTTACGGAGGTAGTCCAGTAAATTGGCCACATTTATGGGGCTAATATTGTATAAATTGGAAGTTTGAACATAATCTTGCACATTTTTCACTCGTAATAATGTTATTGTTTCCCAATCCCAACATATTTTGCATACAATGATTGAACATCATTGGGATTGGGGCTGATAATACTGAAAATGCTAGAACTAGAAGGATCATAATGCATTCATTTCCAGAAATAAAAAAAAGCAACTTACAGTATTGGAAATAAAGCAGTTCCGTCATTTTAATGATTTTTAATTTTATTTCAGTTTATCTGCATTTAGGTGAAATTGAAGTCTTCCACCTTTTTTTATTCCATTGTTATGTAGGAAATGGGTCAACTCGTACCCGAATTAACTTGTTACTCGTACCTGAGTCAACTCGTACCCAAAAATTAACACCCCAGTCAAGTCGTACCTGAGTCAAGTCGTACCTGAGTCAAGTCGTACCCGAGTCAAGTCTTTACCGAGTCAAGTCGTACCCGAGTCAAGTCGTAGCCGAGTCAAGTCGCACCCGAGTCAAGTTGTAGCCGAGTCAAGTCGTACCCAAGTCAAGTCATACCCGAGTCAAGTCGTAGCTCGTAGCCGAGTCAAGTTGCACCCGAGTCAAGTTGCACCCGAGTCAACTCATACCCGCAGCTCCAAATATACACCTTTTTTGGAAAAAAAATCGGTGCAACGGAAGATGAGGGATTTTACCGGGCCTGCGCATGCTCTCGCCGGTCAATGTGGACGTACCGTGCACGGTGATATTGTTTTTGCTGGGCCTGTGTGCGCACGCGTCGGTCAAAGTGGGAGTGCGTGCACGGTGTTTTTGCCGGCGCGCAGTTAGTTTTGGAAACTTCGCCATTTTTTTAACGGCCTTTAATAGGCCTGGGTACTAGAAGTTGTACATATTTAATACAGGGCTAATTTTTACGCTTTAAATATATTTTTGACCCAAACTATGCATACTTTTATCACATTATTTTATTTTTATATTAAACAGATGATCCTGTGGTTTTCTGATAACCATTTTGTGATGCTCGAAACGATCGATCTGATTGTCTGCAGTCCATGATAAATCGATGTCAAGTTTTTAAGACGATTAGCAAATTGTTAAAAGATAAAACTTTCTCTTGCACTTGAATTAATGTCCTTCACACCCAAGCATCAACCAACTGCATGTATATTGGTTCCCCCAAAACTTATATTAAATTTCCCCACCCAACCCTGTCGAACTTAACAGACAAAAACACCCAAACCCGTACACATTTTTAGGGGTATTCTAGTCTATAAGAAAGAGCATCTCTGAATGGAATGGAGCCACCATTTTCCTTATCGTTTTACTGTGACAACTTTCTTGATGCCTCAAAATTGAACAAATAATAAAAAAAAATTCTGTTGGTAAAATAATATGGTAGTTGAACTTATCGCAAAAACTTTATTGGAGCTGCAAAAGAAACATGTTTTTTAATAACAGAAATGGGAATTTGTTAAAATCTGCAGCCAGCACAATGACAGTGAGACACCCAGGTACAAACATTATCGCCTGGGTGTCTCACTGTCGTTGATGTATATGAATTAGGTCTGAACAAATTTATGCTTTGGGTCAAGCAGTTTGCTTTGAAATGTTTGCGGCCGTAGTATGCCTTACCTTCAGGACTGGAGATCCACCTTCTTGGGTAATGTCTCAAGAGGATCCAAGCTTTCTATTGTTGCTCCACCAAGCAAAACTTTCTAGCGCACGCCACGCGCAACATCCCGAACATTGTCGCGGTACTTGAAAAGACATTGCAGTCAAGTCTGCGGCTTCAATGTCGTTTCTTTTGAAAGTGACTCGAGACCTGATTGGCTGGATGATTAGCTGGAGGAAAAATCGCACTGAATCCTTCAAAATTCTATACATGTACAAGCCCCCAAGACTATGCACTCTTCACTCACAATTGAGGCTAGACACTGTCAAGTTGCGATATTACAAGTTCATCACCATCAAGATTTAAGTCAAGACTCATCTATTCCAAGATCATGGCTTCAAAGTGTCCTTGCATCGAGTGTGGGAATGCTGTCCAAGGTTCCCACCAAGCCTTCAAGTGTGAGCAGTAAAGTGCAATTCTGGCATCATGTCAGAAGAGTACTGCGGAATAGTTGCCGACCCCGACCTTCTGGAGGTTTGGGTTTGCAGAGTATGTGCCAACTACCAAGCGCCACCATCTCCACTTCTTGCCGAGCCGATGGACGTGGAGTTTGACAGTTCCCGACCCGCCCAAGAAAGACCCCCTGCCCAGCCCCTCCCTCCAGCCCCTCCCTGCTTGACGACATATCTAACCTTGGGGATCAGGATAAGGTCACCTTCAAGGTTGTTGAAGGTGGTTCCCAACATGGCAAACCCATCCTCGTCGACAGCCATAGTTACAGCTATACCCAGAAGTGGAGAAAGCCGGGATCATCATCATCATCCATTGTGTGGCCTTGCAGCGTCCGTAGTCAGTCCACGAGATGCCAAGTCTCCATCGGACAGGATGGTTTAGAGTTCTCTTTCGGCCTGCTCCCTGTGCACACCCATCCTGCCCGCCCTGGAGGAGATGTCAATTTCTAGACTGGCCACTGTGAAGAAGGCTGCTAGAGAGTCAGTATTCCGCCCAACAGGTGTCATCGTGGAGCAAGTCCTGAGTGAGACAGCCACCTCTGCCCCCTCCAGCTTCCCCAACCAGTCTTACCTCAGACGCACTGCAAACTGCGCGTGTCAAAGCCAGCAACCTCTTGAGCCAAGAGACCTGGACTTTAACATGGATCCAGACTTCATCCCCGTAGATTTCCTGCAGAAGGATGTTTGAGTCGGGGAAGTGAGGAACCTCCTTTTCTTCACCGATGATCAACGTGCTGTGCTGGACTCTGCCAAAACAGGGTATCTGGATGGCACCTTCCAGCTTGTCTGGCGTCCATTCATCCAGCTGTTCTCCGTGCACTTCTTCAAGGGTGACTGCTGGGAAATAAAGTAGGTACCACTTGCTTTTGCCATGATGTCCAGAAGAATCAAGAAGACTACAAAAAGGTAATAAAATCATTTCAATTTTCCCATTATTTCCCCCAAAAATGATGCAAAATGTGTTTATGTTGTTATAAGTTTTGTGATCATGTTCATATCTACTAGTCAAAAATGTTATTTAAAAAACATTTATTATTGAAATTATTTATTGTTTTGGCCCATTTCCTCTGAAAATATCGCATTGAAAATGTTCATTTTTGTGAACATGTTATATCAAGTTAAATTTTTTTTTTTTTACTTATCAATTTTGAAATTATGTGTTTTTTTTTCATTTCCTCACATTCAATATCGCAATAAAATGTGTTTATGTTGTGAACTGTTTCTTTTATCATGTTTGTATTTAGTGCGAGTTAAAGCCCCCATTTTTATCTTGTGCATTTTGAAGACTACTTGATTTGTTTGTGCATATTTGGTGAAATTTCCTCTTAAAGGGAAGATACAACATTTGCAAACATCAAAAAACGAAATGATCAAATTATCACGAAATACCTTACTGAATTGTTAGGAACTGACATTCTAAAGCATCCTTTAAACTCGTGGCTCCTGGTGTGCTGACATTTTGAAGAAAAACTGTATTTTTCCAACGCTGGTCGGCCGACCAGCGTTGGAGAAAACTGGCTTTTTTCCAACAACTGTTCCTAATTTTTCATATTTAGTTATTCTGACTTTTCTTTGCAATTGATTACACACCTATGAAAGGGTACAAGCCTGCTAGACTGATTCTCTGACCTTACAATTCCCCAATGTGAATTACTTGCTCCGTTTCATCTTAAGTGGGGTCAGGGAACCAGACTACAAGAACATGATAGGTTTTCTTGGTTTTCCAGCATCTACAAGCCCAAAACGTGAAACAAGTCAGTTTAACAATATTTTCTCTGACATACTAATCCTCCAAATCCATGTGTTTCTGAAAATTCCAGCAAAAGCAAATGTTGTACATTCCCTTTAAATATCACATTCAAATTGTTTATTTAAATTGCCGATCAATTTTTCATTAAATTATTGCTCTTTGTTTTCCTCTATATTTCTTATGTAGGTCCTGAACGGCAATCAGGAAGAAGGTACCATCACGGGGGAGCAACCTGCAGGAGGCGCCGAGGCTGTCATGGACTTCAAGTCAGGGCTTTGGTCCGCCATCTGAAGCATCTTCTCTGAGTGCCACATTGCCGGGGGTCTATATCACTGGACACAGGCAGTGTGGCGCAAGTGCCAGAACCTGGGTCTCCAGGTACCGTACACTACAGATCCCGCAAAGGTAGACTACGTCCGTCAGTTGATGTCCCTCCTGTTATTACCAGCCGAGCACATCGCAGCTGCATTCGCACATCTGAAGACCCAAGCAAGCAATCAGCTACTTCAGCAGCTCTGCTGCTACATTCAGGCCACATGCATGGAGCACGACGTCTGGGGGCCGACGAACTGGTCTGTCTTCATGCGGAGTATCCGCACAAACAACGATGTGGAGGGATGGCACAGGAGGATCATCGGCAGAGCAGGGCGACACTGTGTACAGTTCTACACAGTTGTCAAGCTGCTACACACCGAAGCGTCGCTAGTGCAGCTGCAGATGCGGCTTATCAAGGAAGCTAAGCTGAAGCGCTTCCAACAGAAGAGATTCAAGACGATCCAAGGGAGGCTCTTCAAGTTGTGGCAGCACTACCAAGCAGGGGAGCTGAAGACATTGAGCTTGCTTGCAGCCTGCAAGTATCTGACTGGGTGGAAATTGTTGACGGCCGGAACATCAACATAACCCAAAGGGCGATATTCAGGGCTAACCAATCATTAACCCAAACGGCCCTTTTAAGGGTCACCCCATTTTCCCAAAAGAGATTTGTGCCATGTGTAGTTAGTATTCAATAAATGGTGCAAAAAATTGAAGTGAGTGCACGTTGAAAAAATATTACTTTTACATATTACAAAGACATTTTAAAAAGCACTTTTCTTAAAAAAAGTCTTGCATACTAGATTCGTAAAAAGAAAATCATGCACCTAAAAAAGGTTTACTTATGATCTGAATGAAAAGTGAAATTTTACCATTTATCAGTGATGACTCTGTAGTGAGTACTGCACCAGTTTGAAAATAGCCTGCGCGCGGTACTTGTGACGGAGCCCTCTTTCCCTTTTCATCCAGATTGTGAGCTAACATTTATACATGTACCACCACCTTAAACCTCAAACTTTATTTGTATCCCTGGTGGTGTAACTAATATTTCTGTTGCCGTTTTGAGGATAAAATCGGAAGTTTTTGTTGGAACCATCCATTCGTACTCCTCCCAAAAGGAAGGGAGTACGAGTTGACTCGGGTATGAGTTGACTCGGGTATGAGTTGACTCGGTTGCAAGTTGACTCGGGTACGAGCTGACTCAGGTACGAGCTCACTTGGGTACAAGCTCACTCTGGTACGACTTGACTCGTGTACGATTTGACTCAGGTGCGACTTGACTCGGGTAAGACTTGACTCGGGTACGACTTGGCTTGGGTACAAGTTGACCCAAAATCGTTTTGTATTTATATGTTGGGAAAACAGAGGACTGAATTCGGGATTGAAACACATGTCAAAGTTGGTTTGAATCTTTTACTTGAATTGTCATTGTTGATGGCATACATCTTTTATCAGTCCAAAAGCCATCATGCACTTGCACATTTTGACATTGTTTTTTTTTTCCCAAACAAGAACCAGATCAGTCAGTTGCCAACAAAAGGAAAGAGGTAGACAGCAAAGGATTTCGCACTCTGAGTCATCAAGTGCAGGATCTGAGCAGATTTCAAGAAGACACTGTCACTTCCATCTTGTTTAGAAGCGTCATATATAATGAAGGTGAGTGCAGAATAAGGCCGTGACGGGCAAGGGCCCTATTTTATTGATTACTTGCTGATAGAGTAAAACATCTTTTGAGTTACCAACATTTTCCCAATGTCTAATTTGCGGATGAATCCACGAAAAGAACCAATCACAACGCACGTACCAAGTGCTACTCGGCAGGCAACTTGTGTGAAGCAGGCATGTGCTGACTGACAAAGCATCAAAGCACAGCACCATTTGCATGTGCAACTAACTGTAGGCCGGCCTGCGAGGGCTGAGCTAGTTATACTTGCTTGGCGATGTGCAGCAAGCCATTATGCACCGTTGCTAGCTGTGATGCGTGTACACAGTGTGTAGGCCATTCGCTGACTGACGGCTGCTAAACAAACTTCATGTACACATCGGTGAACATCACTAACTTTGCCACAATAATGATTCAACCTCAGGTTTGCTATATTTTATTTCACACTTGGAAACTTACAGTTTTATTCACTGAGTCATGAACAAAAATGAATCTAGTCTAAGTTGCAAGGTAGACCCGTGCAATTTAGTTGCTGAACACGGGGGAAGTGAACGAGCCAGCGCAGCGCTCACACAGTCGCGTCAGCAGCTTAGCAGTAGAGTGGGCAGGGACGCGGTGGAAAATACTTTTACTTCCTTTCTTTACTTTTTGTTATGATTTTAAAAATAATCATGGATCCGCGGGTACCCGCCCTTTACAGGAATCGGGTACCCAGTCCCAACAAACCCCATATACGCACACCCCTAGTGCAGAATGTAATTGCCAACTATATTCACAATGTGTTTGAATAGTCTTCAAATTTGTCTTTATCAGCCTGACAATGTACACGTAATATGAGATTTTCTTTTTAAAATTTCGTTGTGATGTCCAACCCTTATATTTATCATTGAAGAAATGAAAATAATTGTTTTGGAAAAGATTCTGAAATACTAATTATTGTAAGAAAGTGAAGATAATTTCACAGGAGTCGTGTTGAGAATATTATACGAAATGTGTTCAAAACATTTACAAGTTTTTTTTTTTTTAAACCCTGTCTTTATAGGGGAACTAGTTGCCATTGACAAGCCATATGGTTTGCCTTCCCATGGTGGCCCTGGTGTCGTCCACAGTGTCGATTCACTCCTCCCCCTCCTCGCAAAGAAACTCCGCCTCCAAAAGACCAGCCCCAACTCCAGGCTGTACCCAGTCCACCGGCTGGACAAGGAAACCACAGGGGTCATGTTGCTTGCTAAGACTGACAACATGGCCAAGAGACTGCACGGGATGTTCATCCGACACCAAGTGGGCAAGAAGTACTGGGTGGTGACAGTAGGGGTGCCGGACCCCAGGGATGGGACCATAGACATGCCTATGATAGCCAGGGAGGTGGCTGGCAAGCATAGGATGGGCATCCGGCCAGACATTGGAGCTGTGTACAAGAACCTGGGAAAGCTGGGCGGAGGGGGTGGCACAAGGGCTGTCACCAATTTCCGAGTCATCAATGAGAATGGCAGTGCTGCACTGGTGGAGGTCCAGCCTGAAACAGGTCAGTTAGTACTACTGATATTTGTGATTGAGTCTGTTTTTGTGGAGAGTTTAAGTTTTGGAGAAGTTGGCAGATACACAATGTGAAGTGAAGTTTCAGTTAATTTTCTCTGGCCATCTTCAGAAAAAAGCCTATTTCTTCTCATGGACATTGTCCTGATGTGGGATACATCTGATTCTTGTGAGAGCCTCGCTGCCTCTTGTAAATGAGTCACTTGACATGGTGCATCCACATTAAATGCTTAACTGTAACTCTGCCCTGTGTAACAAGGTGCAACAAGGTGCAACAAGGTGCAACAAGGTGCACAAATATTTGTGACTCTACTGCATTAAGCAGTCCACAGGAGCAGCATAGCTTTAATGTCTGGGACAACAGCAGCTAGCCCAGTTGAAAAATGCCAGCTTTTGATCCTATGGAGGCTGGCAGCATCAGACTCTTAGGCTGTGTAGCCGTGGGATAGTTGACCTGTTGGATCTTGTTACAAAGGGCAGGCTTCTCAATTTATTATTATTATTACATGTATTTAACTTTATCGGTGTATTAACCCACAACCCTTCATCAAGCAATAAACATGTTGGAGGGATATCTGTCTTGTTATTCCTTCTTGAATGATACTTGATAGCCTGGACACCGTTTCATTCAAAGATAACAAAAGGGAAGTTTAAGGAGCTGTTGCTCATTTAAGCATGTACAACATTTATGTTTCTCTGATCATGTCTTATCTAGACACCCTATAATTTTTGAAATATCAGGCAGATTGAAGTGGGGTTGGCTTCCTGAGAACTGAAAAAACATTCAGACTGTGCTTGCAAGCAGTAGCATTTAAGAATTTTCTGGCAATTTATTGTGAACTGCCAATTGTAATGATCCAGGACTAGTCTGGCACACATATTTGTTTTGCATACTGTGACTCCAACTCTTTTTTCACTTTCTCTCTCTTTGATTTTTCTTTGCATCCAAGGTGTGAAGCATCAGATCAGGGTTCACATGGCCCTTGGCATGGGTTGCCCGGTGCTTGGAGACCACAAGTATTCTCACCATGATAAGCTGGCTCCTCAGGTGATTTACTGATTACTGTCTACCAGGAAAGACGGTGACTAACCTAACTTACTGCCCCTGCAGGGCAGAACATGAGCAACCTCTGTCCATACATCCAGCATGTCATATTTGGATAGACTTGAATTTTGCAAATACGTTGCCATGTTTTTGACAAACCTTTTCAGGCCCACCCATAAACAAATGTACAAGTACTTGGAGCCCATTTTCACTTCTTTCTTTCCAAGCATGATTCCTAATATACCACCCCACTTTTTAGTATGCTATTTAGACTGAGAAAAGGACTTGAGTAACAACACTGCTTTTTGTTACTTGACTTGTATGCTTGACTTCGAAATCAGATTTTCAAATTATTCCCAGCCTGCAATCATTTTCTTTTTTACATTTCCATCTATTTGTATGCATCCTCCCCTATTGAAAGTGGTGAGTTTTGTTGTAGGCTTGCATGCAGATAAAGTTATATGGGATATTCCAAACAAATAAAACACTGATTTTTCAACAAATCTTTCTTGTTTGTTTCTAGCGGCTACCCATGGCCATTCTGCAGCATCTAGGGATACGGCAGGCCAAGGCTCGTACAGTACCCATGCACCTCCATGCAAGAGAGATCAGCCTGCCAGAATTCCTCCATGGCAAAAACCTCTACATTGCTACTAGGTTGCCCAGCTTCTTTGAGCAAAATATTAAGCGGCTCAAACTGAAAGTGGTGTGAAACTTGTAACTGTTGAATGCTGAAGTACATCTCCAAATCCCGAAGACAAGAAGTCTGGTGTGGGGAGTGGGGGGGGGGGGGGGGCACTGCTCAGCAGAAGGCCTTAGACACAGTAGAGCAAATGTAAATGGCATACTTGCCATGCACGACATACCAAACTTGTCATCTTTTTATCTGAGCATCTCAGGAAGAAAGCCGTTGTTCGATTCTTATCGATTCATGTTCTTACAGCATTTGCATTTACATTGTTTTATGATATTGTATTGATCTTAGCATAAACACCAGCCACTACATCAGCTTTGAGTCAGCCAGTCGCCCCTGGCATACTCGGAGGTTGAGCTCTTATGCAGGAGGTTGTGGGTTCGAGTCCCACCCAAACGCTTGCTTGCTCTCAGGCAACGCTGAGAATACAGTGCTTGGGTTTAAAAAAATGCATCAATAAAAGGCTAAGCCATATATGAAATTGACATCTCTCGGACACAATATTCCATGAAAGAAGATGATGTGATTCAAATTACATGTAGTTACAAGAAGCTGTAATGTGTGAGTTGATATTAAAGCTAGACAGAGAAGTGTCACAAATGCAAGGAATTATTAATCACTTTTCTGTTGTTATTTCAAATTCAATTGGTGGGTCTGAGTTGGCTACTTACAATAATTACACATCTAGACTACATGAATTTACAGTTATGATACACCTATGTACATTATAAGCTACAAGGTTTTACTATTTTTCCTCAAACTGTGACATATTCCAGCAAAATAGATAAAATTTGCAACGGGAATCCTTTTCGAATTGTATTAATTTTGAAATAATGACTGAAGAATTACTTTACAAATCAAATGTTTCAAAGTTGGACAAAACAGTGCTCAAATTTGAGAGACCTTTCAATCAAATGTTAAAATCATCTTATTTTTCAGCCCCCCCCCCCCCGAATTTTGTTTGTGAAAATTCATAACAAATGGCAATTGCTCCTCTACCAGAATCTCTGTTACTCACATTGGACCCGTTGCCTCATTCCATCTGATTTTGTTAGAATGTGTCACAATTTACAAAATATTTTCCTTCTCTTTGTGATAGAATGTTCAACACTCTTGAATAACTTTACACATGGGACGTGTGCCCCTCTTGCCAGAAAATGTTCTCAAACAAGTCCATACAAGCAGCAGTCAACTATGATTTTTGTAAAAATTAAGGTTTGCAATAATTTTGATTGATTCTTTTTGCTATATTTCGTTACACAGAAGTGATGAACCAATTAACAATTCACTCTAAATTATTGGATTTGGAACAATATGTTTTGAAGATTATTTGACTACCTGACCAACATTTTACACATCTGCCATTATGGTGCAAATGTCCATTTTGCAATTTGCTTGACTCTTTTTCCTCCGAGTTAAACTTCACGTCACACTTACAACAAAATAATTTTAAAACTTTGGAATAGAAAATAGAATTCATGAAAAATATGTCTTTTCTCTTAGCCAGACATTAATTGCACAATCAGCGACTTTGCCAACTGAAAGCCATAGAAGTCAGCAAGATTCTTCTTATAGGAAATACTAAAACTTGAGTTGATGATTCATATTACTTGATTAATAGTAACAAAATCTGGCTAATATATAAAAACAAAATGTCAAAAAGGAGCAAAATATGGCACACTCTTTTAATAAGGCCTATCCAACATATTTATAACACAGTACAGGCCACCATTATGTATATTAAAGCCCAATAAATATTAAGAAGCATTTATAAATTTGCACCTCAAAAGATTCTATTACTTTGGCTTAGTACGCTTCATTTGAAAACTGGTTACCAGAAATGGGCCTAACATGTCCACTACTATGGTCAAAGATCTGTTGGCTAGGAAATGGTTTTGGCAATGGTTCCCAATCAAGTACTGCATGCAGTCAGGGGTGTTTTACTTCAATAATTAAAAAAGAAATGATTGTCCAGCACCAGTAATAACTTTGATCAATAATGGAAAAAGAATCCTACAAACTCATTTGCAAGTTTAGGTCATACATGTTAAACTTTTCTATTGATATATTTACAGCTTGTATGTTTGATTCCAACCCAAAAAACTCACCCCTACTTTATTTTTGAATGTGTGAAACCCTCTGAAAATAGTGTTTTGTTTTTAGCACAAACAGATCCGCTTTGTGAGCAGACTGGCTCCGGTCCGTACATTATCGATGCTGATTGTGGAGCGGGTACCAGCCTACCCTGGGCATACAGAATTATAAATAGTAAAATAATAGTTCAATAACTCAACATGCGCCAGTGGGCTAGAAAAGAAGCAAATCAAAAGAGGAATCTATTTTTCGGGATGAAATGCGAAAATAACAAGGGGAACGCAACTTTAACCCTCATTTCTTTACTATTTTGTCTTCTTAGCTACATGGATATGTTTGAAGTCTTCCCCCACATTTGCGCTTCAATAAGAAAGACTGAAAATTGGAATTCCATCTAGAAACAAAAACCACTTTTGTTTTTAACAATATCTGCAGCAATTACAGATTTTTAGTGCACACACAATTTTTCAGCTTGCAAGATATGCATTTCATAGCTTTTTCATCTAGAAATGGTTGTCATTGCAAATTCAAACTTTGACACAACAATTGGAAGACATTAAATTAAAACAAAACATTCACAGAGAATGGCCATACAATTTCAACAAAATATCAGTAATTAATAAAGTCATGGATAATTTACATACTCTGATCATGACTATTAATATAAATAAGCAAAATTTCAAATTGTACAATTTTGTGTGAAGTTATAGCATTCACATACCATCAAAATTTTATAATTTTCTACAAAACGAAATTTCAAAAACTCGACATATATTGCAGGATTCATAAAATTCAAATTAATATATCTACAGTAAAACAAAAGGTCTGGAAACTCACAAAATAAAAACTTGGATAGGTATTAAAAATGGAATATAACCTTTTCCATGTGAATTTTGACATGAAATTTCTGATATTTAGAATTGTAGAAGAAAAGGCAGGCTTGTATAACACATGTCAACTATCTTGGCATTGATATTAAATACCTTTTTCTGACTTAATAACACTGATGTACATTTATAAGTTCAAGGTGGTACATTATTACCCCTGCTCATCAGGCATATATTTCATTAGCCCTAGATGCATGCCACTGGGTAAATCAAACTACATCCAAACTTTTCAACACTGCCTCCACTGACTTGTGTGCATAACTGCAGCGTTATTCCAAAAGTACAAATTGTCAAATCTTGGGCACACCAAATACCAACCTTGCTTACTACTACATACTTCCTGGCCTTTACCATTGTTTTGCACATGTCATTTGTGCCGTACAGGTACAGAAATGTGACCTCAAAATATTTAAACCAAACAACAAAATAAAGGCAATCCTATTTGTTACTTTGGTCTTTGCCCAAGATGACTATTGAAATGTTTCCACCATGATAATTACATTTTTGAAGGGATTTTGAGAAAGTTCCTTGCAAGCTCTTTTGCCTGACTATGCTGACTCAATTATCAGATCAGTAAAAATTAATCAAAGTTGCTAGTCATCAAAGTGGGGCATAAGTGTGTTACTTTCGTTGTCATGAAACAAACAGCAGCGATACTAAGACTTCCAAAATGTTTGGACTCAATCTGGCTATACTGTTCACTGTACATATGATTACATCGTGGAAATCTACTATTTCAAAAACACATGTAGTATTACAATCAGTACTTTTCAGGTTGAAATTTTCAGCCAAGTGTATACATTCTTTTAAAAATAATGATATTCAGCACAATAACGTACACAGGAAAAGCTTCCCCCTTTTCAACATCTCCACAAGGCAACTTGTCTGCTTCTTATTGCTTTTTATTATGAAGTTTTCTTCTCAAAAGTATCCCTTATCCCATTATGTACACTAATGTACAATGTACAGTATTCAAATGTTATATAATGTATCTCTCTAACGAAATCTATGATTGTCTCTAAAACCGATGCAAAGGTGTACTAAGCACAAGCCGTTGTATAAAATTTACAAAAGTGGCCGAACCAATTCAGAAAAATGTCACCTTTTCATACCTTCTTACCCCCCAAGTGGTAAATATTTTCAATTCGTTTAAACATTAGGGATCTGATTCACACTTAAAAAGTCACAGGTTTACAAAAGAACCAGAAACTCGAGTATTATATTCCAAGATTATTTAGCAATACAAACCCATGGTTGGGTCGATCAGTGTTGTATGGTTTTTGGGAAGGGGGGGGGGGGGGGGGGAGGAGGGAGGGCAAGGGCCGACCAAATCAAGGCCTTCAGATAATGAGACCCCCCCCCCCCCAAGTTCCCCCCTGCAAAAACGGACCTATGGGCTCTGTGCACAAGTACACCTCAACGGTAAGAAGAGTTGGGGAGACAACTGGACGAGACATTCAAAAGCCTTGCTGACACCACTTGATGCTCAAGCGAAGATGCTACGGCTATGTCCAAATTAAGAATAAAAGTAGTCACGTGTACTTCGCGCTATCCTCAGTACGTGTACGTGGTGTTTCCTATTCACTGGACTCTCGAAGGTGGTTATATAGGGCCCTCTCTTGTTCACGCATGGAGTCCATATTTAAGCCACTGGCACAGTGAGTGATTGTGTGTTTAACTTGGCAAGTATAATAACATTGGACTCAGTGCACAAATACCCCCCCCCCCAACATTGAATAAGAGAGAGATTTTGGACACATGAGTCCCCTAGCAATGGAATGCCCAGGCTCATGTGCACATCATCTTACATGTTTTTGTGCACATGTACATGTAGCTGAAAAACTGATTATGAGTACTCCATGCCATGCATGCTTAAACCAAAGTGTACACACATTTTTTCTTTCCCAAAGTGGCTCTCATGAGTAGGCCACAAAGTGCCATCTGTTCCTGCATGGAGTTTATGGAATACAAGGTGCTTATGTGACCAATCACTAGAGATCCATCTACTAGACACACTGCATGCACACTGGTTGGTGCACACATGATGTGAGATATGCATGATTATTACGTTTCATCTGACTATGCACAAAATGTAGCGTCTTCTCATGAGCTTAATGTGTTCAAGAGTCCCGTCTAATTCTCTTGTTCTATCTTTGGGATTAACATGTACATGCAGCCCATACTGAGAGGCAATAATAGACAAGGTCTCTGTGTGTGTATGCACTCATATGGGCCTGTCAACATTGCTAGGATTATTAAACACCAATAAATAATATTTGTAAAAGTCAATGATGAAGACTCACTCATTGTACACAATTCTCGGCCACATAAAAAACATTATTTACAGCAAAGGCTGCTAACATGTATGTGCATGCTGTAGTCACAAAAAGCACATACAAGGAATGGTTTTTGTTGCTTTGTACATTGACTGACAAAATGCAGCTGCTCTGATTCCAATATACATATTCACAGAATTTAACGAGGACATCCACACGTCTAATGTGAAGCTGAGCTCCACTGCCGTGTTGATGACATCCACAGGTCTAACATGAAGCTGAGCTCTACTCCCTTGTTGATGACATCCACAGGTCTAACATGAAGCTGAGCTCTACTGCCATGTTGATGACATCCACAGGTCTAACATGAAGCTGAGCTCTACTGCCGTTTTGATGACATCCACAGGTCTAACATGAAGCTGAGCTCTACTGCCTTGTTGATATCCACATGTCTAACATGAAGCTGAGCTCTACTGCCGTGTTGATGACATCCACAGGTCTAATGTTAAGCTGAGCTTTACTGCCGTGTTGATGACATCCGCAGGTCTAATGTGAAGCTGAGCTCTACTGCCTTGTTGATGACATCTACATGTACATATCTAACACAAAGCTGAGCTCTACTGCCTTGTTGATGACATCCACAGGTCTAATGTGAAGCTGAGCTTTACTAGTCTTATTGATGACATCACAATTATTGTGGTATGGTGTAAGGAAGGCTTATCAAGAATGTGACAAGGGGGAGAGCCAGTAAGTTGTGTCCATTAATGAGGTTAATAATGCCCTAAATTAGATTGGCAAGAGGTATTCTCGGGCCCAATGTGAGGCAATACACAGATTCCACAGGATTCTATCCACAAATTTTCCATCCAGAAATCCAGTGAAAGCCCACCAGTGGATAGCTGATAAATTCTCTGCATCCACATGCCCTGGATATTGAGCATGATCTCCTATTAGATGGGCCCAGCATGTGAAGCTATGTTAAAGCCCCCAAAAGTCCCTTGTACGTGGCAGGATGCTAAGCTTCACTGATTGTTTCATCCATTAGCTCTATAGCAAAACATTGTTTACATGATTGTAATATATGATGATGAGCTCTACTGCTAGAAGTCCACTACCTTTAGATGATTTGGAGTCACTATTCTTATCATGACAAGAAGTGCAGGAGGATATTTTCCAGTATTTAGTGCAGTTTAGCGCTTATGCCTGAATTATTTCTCCCTTAAGTTTCAGATGATGCAGAGCTATACTGCCATCTGATCTCCACAACTGGTGAATAATGCAGGAGCCTTGAGGAATTGCGAAGCTGGGCTGTACTGCCAAGATGATGACATCTCAAGATGATGACATCACAATGCCTACTCTAGGGTGCAGAGTTCTCCTGTCCAGTTGATGAGGACCCGCCAGAGTTGTCAGACGATGTTGACGGTGTAATTTTCAGGACTTCAACACTACCATTCGTCAGGCCGTTGGATTCTACCTTGAGCGACAGAGATTTCAGCCAGGACTGGATATCTGTAAAATCCGGTCTGGATTAGAAAGAAACAATTTTGAGCATTCTGAGAACATTTGACCAGTGTTAATAGAACTAGAATCATCTCTAGAAGGCATCTTCACCCACTTTTGACATTTTAGCAGGAATGTAGTCGAGTCCATCGCAAGTCCAGTTACAAGTAACAGTGGATGAATAATAACAAAGGAATGCCTTTGTCAAAGCCATTTGAATAGCTTGTGAGTTGAATTGGGACTGGAGGACTTGTGATGGACTTGCAGGGACTTGAGATGGACTCGACTACATCCATGCATGTTAGGCAATCCACTTGAGAGGTTTTCAAACATGAGAATAATATTATAAGCATGTAACATTTAACGTTCCGGGGATCTGTGTCAAATTGCTATTCCCATGTGTTCAAGAGGACTTGAAATCCGTCGATATCATGGGAACACAAACCATTCACTTTGGTCTTCAAACACAGCTCATTTCATTTGCTTTATTACAGTGTTTTGAATAAGGAAATAACTATGTGCTTGGTCCGTATTAAACACAATGTTTAAGACTGCTTGGAGTCTGGGTGCTGCTTATTACCCGAGCCAAAGCCGAGGGTAATTATCAGCATTCCAGACTCCAACCAGTCTTAAACATTGTGTTTAATACGGACCAAGCACATATTTATTCCCATTCATAAATACCTTTTCTGTCAAAATATCAAAACTTTTTGGTGCACAAGTTAAAAAAGTCAAAAATTAATAATTTCCAACGATTTTGTTCAACAGTTTTTACTTTCTGTTTTTCGAAACACCCCTCTAGCTAAATAATGGAGATTGGCACGTGCATCGCGCGATGACGCACAGATGCAGCTATAGTGGGTGCATTGTGAATTTAGGACTATGAAATACTGACTCACTGGTAGTATTGCACATGCCTATGTGAGGATTGTAAACGTTCATCCAATAAAACAGTAAAAGGCACTGGATTTCATAGGAGTCCAAATTTCATGTGACACTGGAAAAGTGTTTAAGACCAGCCAGCCATGTCTGTATCATCTGTTTAAGACCGTCCACGTGACGGGCTCTCGACCAATGGGAATGGGTTAACTGTCTAAGGTATTTATGAATAAACATTAACATGCTGTATTAATGTCTAAACAGTTAAAAATTCTCCACCAACATATTGATGCCTGTGCATATGTGCAAATAATGCAATGATTTATCCTACGACAAACACAAAATGCTTCCCCTACCTTCTTTCTGGTTCAACTTCGCAGCATTTGACGGCTACATCAAACAGACGTGTCGGGCAGCCATCACAGAACTGCTCCTTAAAGAGCGGTACGTTAAGGCCAAAGGTCATGGTCCTAGGTAGATGGTCTGGGTTGGCACTGACCCGACCAATCAGCTCACACATGATGATGCCATAGGAGAAGACATCAACTCGCTCATCATAGGCCTTGCCTGGGATTGGTTTATAGTGGCAAAGGGAAAGGCAATCAGTTAGCCAATGACAGACTAACATGCAACCATGTACATTGTAGGAATCACACTACACCCTTCTTCAATCATAATCATGGTCTTCAGCAAAAACTTGAACATTTCCAGTCTTTTTTGTCCGGATACTTGGATTTTGATCAATAACCAAAATCTAAAATACCCAAGCCACACTGGCTAGTTTTTCTGGGCCTAATTCCTACTTCATCACTTCATATTTCAGTATGCTGGTCAGAAAAGAATTCCAATAACAATCACCATGAACTCTATATGCTTAAGTACAAAGACAGGGTTAGGCAGGACTCTTAAATACATTGCTGCCGGAGTGCCTAATGCTCACAAATAGAAGGTACTGGTTTGCACACATTCAGAATAAACTATTCTTCTGTACTTCCTGCCATGCCACACAAACCTGCATGTGCATGTAATTTGTCCAATCTGAAGACATACCTTTCAACATTTCTGGTGCCATCCAGTATGGGTTTCCCACTACGGTGTAGCGCTTTTTGCGGCCAGATCTCCGCGTTGATGAGTTGCGTTCAAACGGCTGCAGTCTGGGATCACTCTTGTCCTGAACCATAACTCGCGCCAGACCAAAGTCAGCTACGACTACTGATCCATTCTGGTGTAGAAAAAAAGGTAACCTACAATTGATGGCTGAATGACTAAAGGCCACTTTAAGTATATGTGAATGCAAAGTATATCAATATTTGCAGTGACATTTTTCCAGATTTGAAATGTGAAAATGAATTTAACTGCTGCAAACTGACTGGATTGACCTGAAATATACAAATCAACAAACTTAGCTGCCTGACATTGCAGTCTTAACTACACCTTCTTCAGATGCAAATTTGCCTCTTAAGGTCTTATTAAGACCGCAACGTCAGGCCAGCTAATTTTGTAGATTTGAAATGTGTTCAACTTCTGTGAATTAGCTGCGCGAATACTTGCAATTAAATCATGAGTTCAAATCTGAACTGGCCCTCAAGTTGCTGTGGTTACAACAGAAAAACAGTACACAGTTATAGCTGTTAACAATAATAAAAAAATATCAATTGACAAATTCAATGATTAGAAATGACATCCATTACCTTTCTGACGAGGCAGTTCTGTGAATTCAGATCTCTGTGAATGATACCCATCGAGTGCAGATATGTCTGGAAAAAATAATAAGTTCATACATGTAATTCAGGGTTGTGAGTGACCACTGGTAAAAAATAGCTGAAAACAGCTGGAAAAGGTGTAAAAAAGCTGAACTTTAGAAATCTCCTATACTTTTGTACACAGCCAGTGAGGGGAAAAAGCTGAAATCCATAACAAAAAAAGGCTGAAATCAGCTTTAAAGCTGAGATAGTCAAAATTCTCTGTTTTCTAATTTTTACTTCCTTGTTTTCTGTATATCTTATTCTTTTTTACAATATTCTGAAAATACAATTTTATTGGTAAAATCTCAGTTCAGTAAATCAAAAACAAACTATAAAAGCTCTATGGAAATGATCAGACTTACCATTCCAAAGGAAATATCTCGCAGAATGTTGACTCTGTGGAGCCAGGAATAGTCAGGACCCTAGAAAACAAACCATTTACAATCAAATAATTGAGCTGACAAAGAATGGCAGCAAAGAGTAATTATAATTCTTTAAGAAAAAGTGACTATGAAAACAACCAGTAGAATTTTCAGAACGGTGAATGTGCTCCTTCTTTTGCATGCATACAAACTAAGCAATCAATGACCGTCCTTAAGACTCATTTTGTAGTAACTGGTCAGTTATTGATGCTTTATTAACTATACATTCAAACATCACCCTTGCGAGCTTTCCTACATCCTTGATTCATTTTTAAAAATGCAAAATTTACCATGTTTTTGACAACATGCCGTAACGTCCCTCCATCAATGAATTCTGAAACAAAGAACAAATCTCAATATTTTAGTGATATTTCGCAGGGCTGTATTCTATTACTAAATATCTACACCGTACACAATTAATGTAGCCTGCTTGGACCATCCATGTCTGTGCTCAAACCTATGAAAAGTTCAACATTTTGTATGGCTTTTTAAACTGATATATGTCATTGAAGCAGATAACATAACATTGAAACATCCTATCATCTACTACCATGACAGGTTATCTGAACAACAGCTAGCACAATGCTTTTGTTCACCATATGACTATTTCAATCTATACAACTGACAACTGATCCTTGTGATTTGATTGGCGGAACTCACATCACGTGACATTTATTATTGCTCCCATACACGCCGGAGCTCAAAATGTCCCATTCGCCCATGGTGAATGGGATTTACTATTCAACAGTTAGGGTCATCCTTGTTCCATGACGCGATATATGTGTGCAAATCATGCTGGTGTGCGCGTTCAGCGTTGCGCGAATTGTTCCCAAGAGCCAGTAGCTACAGAGTTTGGTTCAAACATTTCGCGAAGGGGTGGTTTGGAAGAGAGAAATACATTTCCCACCAATTTTGTATTGAAACAGAAGTTCTTTTTAGCTGTAAATCAAATGACAAGGTTCTATATGTCAGTTATATAAAACAAATATTGAGTGGCTTTAAATTGTGAAATGGGAGGAATATTATCGCTCGGTAAAATCTGGACTTTTCCATTTCAGTCGGCAAAGTCCAGATTTTACCTTGCGATAATATTCCTCCCAATCCACTCTGAGCTACTCAATATTTGTATAATATTCTATGTACATACAACTTTTTCAAAGTGTCTGATCCAAGTCATGCTTCTGAAACTATTCTGCACAAGGGATTAAGGAGTTAGTGCTCTTGTGATACAATATAGCTCTAATTGAGATTTAGACATCTGAAATCACATGATCAAGATTCTTCTAAGGAAACAAATGTTGACAAGGAGTGAAAGGCAGACTTACCTGTAACTAGGCTTAATTTCTTGTCTTTGTAGAGAACCCCTATGAATTTCAGCACATGAACATGGTCCAGGCTACGCAGTACTTTAACCTACAAGATAAAAAGACATTAAAATGAATTTAAACATTTTGCATTTTGTTTCAGAAAGCAAGACCATTATCCTGTTGCTGCCGTCTTGATTTTTTTCCCATTCAAATCAACGTAACCAAAGCAAGGCTGGAAGGAAAAATAGTCTGGTTCCTTTCTGCACAAAAAAAACATTATCATTCAGTAATGTTATTGGATACAGGAAACATGACTGAAATTTGACAGCATGATAAAGATCTATTGTTAATGCATTTATAAAAATAACATCCTAAAACCATCCTACCTCTTTGAGGAAATTCCTTTGCGCATCATCTTCAAATCTGATCAACTCCTTGACAACCATCACCTCACCTGTTTGTCTGTGAGTTACCTAGGCAACAGAAAACAATTGGACTAAAATGTAATTGACCATTTTCACAAACATACATGGTCAATAACTTATACATGCTTAAAAAGTACAACAAAGTACTGGGAACTACAGTATGAAACTTGTCTCTTATTGTCTCCCAAAGCGCACTGAAAATAAAATGCATTTAAAGAGCACAATTAAGAAAGGCTAAACCACTTTTGACATCATGGAATGCCTAAACAATGTTCATCTAGTGCATACTTCATTGGAAGGGGGAATGCAGAGCGAATCTGACGTCGTGAAATATTCACAGCAAATATGCCAGAGATGAAATATGTGAACTTTTGCAGATCTGAAGCATGACGATACAAATTTGGATTCAGTTGTGCTTTCGCAACATGTACGAACTAGCTTAAAGATGAAGTTCTGAATGGTGAAAGCGCTAACCCAAATGTAATGTAAACTATTGTAAAAAGTCTCTTGGTCCGTCTACCCTTCATGGATGACAATATTCACCTTGATGGCCTGGCCAAAGAACCCTGAGCCTAGCACCTCTCCCTTGATGAGGTCAGAAGGTCGGAAGATGCGATGGTTCTTGACTGTCTGCTTCCAGGAGGAGGCTCGGTTGATAGGGGAGGAGAGAGATTGCGACATAGTAACATCATCAGCTTTCTTCCTGCAGATTGGAAGATGGAATAATTATAAAGAAATCAGCTATAGCTATCCAAACAGCAAATGACGAAATTATTGTTGAAAACATACTTGGTTTAAAAATAGATGGGACTAAACTCCCTGTGAAATTATTCCTTCTGGCAAGCTGTCATTATGAAGAAAACAATGAAAGAAGGCCATTTCCAAAGATGCGTCTAAAGACGCATTTTTGGAAATTTCCGTTAGTAGTTCGTTATTTTGGCGAAGCGCACGCAAGCGTTGACATGATACACATGCGCGAGAGCCCTCTATGATTTGTCGGTTCAGTGCGCGAAATCGCGCAGCTGCAATCGGCTGAATGAGAACGTGTCACGGTTGCTGAATTCGGGCGCAATTCAAAACATGACTCTGCAACTTTTTATTTGAAATCAAAATCCTAGAATATTGTGTTCTCGGAATATACAGCATTCACTGAGCTAAAACTTCATCAGGTTAGTTGTTCAGCACCCTTCTTTAGATTTTGAAAACTTTTGTTGCTTGGTGGAGCCGTTTCAAACATCTGGTTTAAAAGCAGGTAGGGGCCTGGTCGCCGATAACAGCCGAGCTGAAGGCGAGGGTCATTATTGGTGACCAGCCCCCTAACCAGACTTTTAACACTGGTCCACCACACTATTATTTCCATTCATAAATATCTTTTTTGGTCAAAAACTTAAATAATAGAAAAAATGGCAAAATTCCGACAATGTTTTGTTCAAGAATTTTACGTTATATTGCTATAGAAGATTGGGGGCCATTTCTATGAAGAGAGAGTGTGATTGCAGTTCCTGCTCTCTCTCCCCCCCCCAATAAATAAATATCCTCAAAGAAGCAACTTCAGGATTTTTAAAACGTTAAAGTCCTTTACTTCTTACCTTTATTTTCAGGCATACTTTTACTAAAAAACAAGGACAAAATAAGACACACTAAACCTTTTGATGTTTTGTGATAACCTCAGTTGGTCCAGTGCGTAGCCATTTTGTGAGCAACTTTATTAAACGTAGTATGGTATCGTACAGCAGTGTTCTATGTTCATGTTCAAGATCAAAGTATTAATCATTTACAGCGGTATTAAACAGAAAGAAGTCTGATTTGTGCCAAAATAAAACCTATTTCAGAAATTTCAAATGTAGATTTCAGTGTAATCAGTCAAAACGGGACAAGGCAGGCCTAGAAAAGCTGGTCCGACAACACGCATAACTCTATTCAAGTCTTTTCATGCAACTTGTTTACCCAATGGTCTGAACTTAGCCTTTTCATTGGTGTTATGGGATAATCCTATACATTAGCACTGCCCGGCACACAAGTGTGCTGGCCTTCTTGGACCAGCACAAAAAGACTTGTGTCTTTGAAATGACCAAATGGTGTCTTAAAGGGTGGGAAAACAGTTGCGAAAGTACTTGATTTTCGTATTTACAGTGTTAATGGGCATTTTATAGATTGTAGCTGTTAAATACCCTGTGCATGAAATACTTACTGTTACTATTCCCCCAGCTTCTTGAAAAGCACTTACTATATTCTGTACATAATATGTCTGCCTAAATTATTGTTTTCATTTTGTGCTATATGCATAGATTAATTAAAGCCTAGTTTCCATATCAATGTTAAGCTTTATGTTCAACTTTGTCTGCATGATAGTTTGCGTCTGTCTGGGTTGTCGGTGATATTTACGAATGAAATGTTTCTATGTCTGCCTTGCAGTTTTGGTCTTGTTTGCATTGCTCTCTGCATTTCTTACATGTACCTCGATATGGAACCTAGGCTTAACAGTATATGAATACTGTAGGAATTAGGATTTGCTCCCATAGATAAATCAAGCTTTGTGACTTCATGAGCTACTATTTTGTGCAGTACTACAAGCAATTGAACTTCAAAACTTAGTGTTTTGGTGGGGTCAAAAAGCAGGGACTAACAAACTATGCTTCCATGACCCTCAAACCTTTTGTAGCCATCCCTTCTCAACAACTACTACACTATACATGTATGTTCAATATTCCAATTACCCGACATGTACATTAATAGCAATGTGTTCCCATGAGAGTACATCAATTATAGTACAGGCTGAATCACTGGATAGTTCCTTGCATTGATTGCCCATGTTGCCTGTGTCACATCCCAAGATCCGTGTCCGGGGGGCTGAAGATATTCTGTTGAGTTTGCTCATGTTATGTAAAAGGCACAACTTTTTGACAAGTTTATTTTGAGGCACACTCAGACTTTTCCTCTAGAGGTTTATTAGTCATGTTTGTTTATCTGGCAGTGTGGAGCCCAGCCCAACCCTCCCCCTCTCACCCCCCTCCCCAAAAAGTACAGACTGTCTGATGTACGGTGCTCTACCCGGGTAAAATCCAACCCTGGTTAGGACCAGGGGTGAGAGGCTCTACCTGGGTAGAAAACCCACAATCTACAGCCAACCCGGGTACAATCAGGTTGAGTGTGAACGGTCCGCCTTGCGACACGTGTTTGATGTGACCTGGTTCCACTTACGGTGGACCAATGTTGATCTCAACAAAGGTAGGCAAAAAGATTCATCAGCCTGCTTAATGCTGCCTTCAAAGCTTCTTGCGCATAACTAGGCCAATATACTCAATCAAGCAAAGAGCTCAGTAAACACAGACATTGTGACATTTGCTCACTGCCCTAGATGGAATGCTCTTCCTGCCTTGCCTGTCTGTAACCCCTGTCACTAGGATCTAGTATTACAGTGGTTCAAGGGGAATACATACATGCCTTGCCAAGTTCAGTATCACACTGTCAAACGTTTGGCCAACAACAAAGGACAAAACACATTTCAACAACTTAACTTAAATTGAATTAATAATTACTGTATGACATCAATTTAAACTGCTGCCATAACTTTTCAAGAAACAACATTCATCAGTTTATGAAAAACTGCATCTCATGTAAACATGACACAGATATCTGATACAGATGCTTGATTCCTCTACCATCATTATTAGAACACTAGTGAGTTGTTACTGTAGCTCCACAGAAACACATACCAGACACTAACCCAATAATAACTTCTGAATACATTATGACTTCCTTTGAGTCTTGACTTTAAAACGCCTTCCGACACAATACAATTCATGTCGATCAAGAAAAGACAGGATTTTTTCCCTCTGAGCAACAATGTCACTAGGTCTCTGTGGTTTGGTCTGAGCAGTGCTCTTTATAATGACAAATATCTTGAAGCCACAACCAAATCATTGAGACTGACATGACTGAAATGATCATGATCTGCTTCTTCAGGATACATACACAGGTCCTCTCAGCAGGTTAATAACAAACACTGCTAAAAGTGATTTCTTCCTCAACGTGAGAAAGAAAAATTACGGACACGATGGAGAACAACCCAAAACTAGATTTACCTAACTGTGAATTTGGAGAAAACGAAGACTGATTCAAAAGGCCCCCAAAGAAGTAAAATCAATCTCTGTTGAGAAATGAATATCATTGGCTGCATCCTACTGTGGCTGCATACCCTACTGAGAATAAACCCAAACCCCAGAGTATCATGTTCCTACTATGCAATATTTAGGTGTGAAGTGTTTGTCCTTCTTGTTTATAAAATAAACAGAACTTTTAAGCAACATTTCCATAGAAATAGAAACCAAGACAGCCTGATGAAAAAAATGGATCATTTTGAAGTCCAGTTTAACAAGGCTCATTTGAACATCACTGATTTTGTTTGGTGCACAAAGTCTCAAAGCCATCACAGCAATGTTTATATAGATGTATTATACTATGATGTCCTCATTTGATATGTGAAATTTAAAAGTCGGTCTAGGGAGCCAGCCTTCTTATCTCTACATTTAATGAATCCCATATCCGGTTACAAGACCAACCATAAGATCAACTGAGGGTTGCAAGTATCCATGCACACAGGCAAAAGACCTGCAGCGAATGTAATAATGTCTTGGCAATGAAGGATTTCATAAGCTGCAATTGCGCCAAATGTTTGGTGGTGTTGACGGATCAGGTATCTGCTAAATACATTCATATGGACATTCACCCATGGCAGGCTGGGGGAGTCTTTCAAGTTAGTGAGATATCTTGGAGTCAGATATATGCATTGGAGTTTAGGAGCCCACTGCAGTAGCTATTAACAAAAAATTGCATTGACTAACTGCCAACACCTTTCATGCCTTTAGTGTCCAAAGTTTTCCTTACATATCAGTGTGTCACTTTAATGTATTACAGTCATGATCTTCTGCCTAACGTTTGTAAAGCAGGCTTGACTGATACAGACTAATACATTTGATTTGGGACCCCATGGCACAAAAAACATTGCCGTGCCGTGATAATGGTCTTCCACCTAACATGTCAATCTAGCACAGTCTGAAGATTAGTAGAAAGAGACTACTATCAAACAAAAGATTATTCATTTAAGTATGGCCTCAAGAAACTGTCAGTGCAGGACGTTCTGTGACTACTGATGCTCTTATGGACTAAGACAGGATGGAAGAGTAGTGGAGAATTTCCTGAATAGACCACGAAGCAAGGATTTTTTTTTTTGTATTTGGAAGGTTGCCCAGAAAATAGTATGTAAAGTTTAATTTTGATGAAGGTTTTCTGTGAGATTTTCACAAAAACCTAAATGGGTCTTCTCGTCACATTTATTGACAGATATTTGCAAAAACCTTTTATGAGTTAAAAAATCTAAACTCAAAATTAAAAAGTGTGATGCCCCGTGGTAAAACAAGGCTGTTCTGAGAGCCCGTATATTGGCATTCAACTAATGCAAACAATGTTTACAGAACCCAGTCAAAAGTCAAGGAGTTGTCAGATTTGACTCCTTTTTCCCCATTTACTGTATGTGATTTCTTTATCACATTTATTCCATGATACTGATCTTTATGGGTGAAGCAAAACATGTCTGTTTTCTTTTAGCCAAAATGTACATGATTCTTACATGGAGTGTCACAATTGATAAAAAAGAAAAAGAGTAGAATAGAAAAGTCTATTTCTGGCAAGATTTTTTCAACA